GTTCCTAATTTGTGTAAACTGTGTTCACTGACAATAGCGATACAACTTATTCTGATTCTGAGTGAACTCTGGAGGTTCTGAGCTTTCGCATGAGCCTGTCCATATACTGAGAAAGAGAAAAACTTGTACGTGTCCTCTGTGTGCAGGTTAAGGCACTGACAGCCCAAGTTCAGCTGAGATCGTAGTTCTTTTGGTAAACCAGACAGAGCAGAGGCCAAAGCTAAACTCTGCAAAATATATATTATATAAGTTTAACTCTGCCGTATAAAACTAAAGTTCAAACATGGATACAAGCCACACTCTATAGCTGCTTCTCACTTGTCTGTTTGTGATCAGGAGGTAACAGCTGAGAGGTGACAGGGGACCACTCACTCCCCCTCCTCCTCCTCCTCTTCCTCCTCTCGCGCCTGTCAGCCTCTGTAAACTATGTCACAACACCACACACAAGTGACTCATACAAGACCAAGCCCGAGCTAAATGAGCCCTGTACAAATACAAGTCCACCTACTGTTACGTATAGATTTCACCGTATGGATTTGTTCAGCACCAAGGATGAACAATGAAAGACTACAATACTTATAATATGTCTTTGTTGCTTATGTCAGGTTTAATTTCTCCTTGTATGTGATATAGTCCCCTGTATTACATTATATTCTTATTATTTCAGTTGTCTTTTTGATTTTTTATGTTTTGATTTATTTATTTTTTTCCCCAGAGAATTTCATTTGGTGTGTTTGTGCTGAAAAAATATACATATCAAGACAGGTTGGTGTAGCCAGGCTGGTGCCACCTATTGCCTTCACTCAATTTCATTTCTCTCCAGCAACTAGGTCAGGAATCAAAATACAATAGATGGCTCCCAGAAACCTCAGAAATGCAAGTTCGGGCACGAGCCAGTCATTGAAGAGCCATATATATCAGTGTTGTCAACGATTCCCGAGATCGAGGATTTAAAGCCGGAATAAAGAGAATGTTTGGTGAATTTTATCAAGGGGAAAGCCGTTATTGCTTCCCCATTAGCGTCGCATTACATACGTAAAGACCAAATAGCAGCGATTGGTTAAATGATAAAAAGTACCCGCCTACTGTCGAGCGAATGAAATCTAAGGCTGCAAGGTCAGACGGTTTGTACGAAATGAAACGAAGTAAAACCGGCTGATGAGTCAGGCTAGGGTTGGTGCAAATGTGTAGTCTAAAAGTAAAAGACTCTTCTATCTTCTCGTTAGAATTCAAAAGGTATAGGGGATCAACTGGGAGATCGGATATTTCTCAGTTGAACGTTACAAGTTCTGACCTCAGAGTGTTCCAGCTGAATTAACTCATACGTTACAAATGTCTAACTTATTAAATCACAGAATATTCTCAGATTTAACTTGTTTACTTTGGTTGTGTACTGCTCAGCATTGTTGTATAACGTCACAGTTTAACTCATATCTGTGGGAGTCCTCTGATCACCAGTATCCCACTTACCAGCTGCCAGGAACACTTCATAAACCAGTCAGTGTCTTTATCTTGTAAGGATGAATGAAACTTTATAATCATCTTGAATATAAATGTACTTCTGCAATACTTTTACCAGTTACTTAAATTTAAACTAAATGATCAACATAAAGCAAACAATAAAATCTTTACTTTCTGAATTTTGTAAGTTGCTTTATGTTATATTTTTATTCTCAGTACATCTACAGACCTCACGTAAAAGCTCAGAACCTCCAGAAGTCACTCAATGAGCTGCATAGGCTACACTAGCACCGATTCAAGACTGGCTGTAGATGTTGGGGTTTAGGTAGTGACCATTCAGATCAGAGAAATGCATTTTAGCGTTAAACCAACTGGATTTCAGCTTTGAAACTGGCAACCCAAATACTTGTGAGCACATTTTGCTTTCAAAAACCCAAAACTGGCCATCATAACTGTTATAATGTTTTGGTAATAAAGAATAAAACAACATTAGACATTTTATCTGAGGAGCGTTTTTCATTTGAACATGTTTAATCACATATTTGGTGTGACAGGGACAGGTTATGTTTACGGAATAAGAAAAAAAAAGTACCTTCATCCACAGCAATGGTATACAGAAATGCTATTGTTTGTTTAAACACTGAGCTACCACTGTTGCCAACACAAGCAATAAGATATGGCTCTAAAGCTCTGCATGGTTGTCAGACACCATATGCACAGCAAAAGAATATTTTTGCCTAAATGTTCAACAGCTTAGAATAAGAGGTTGGAGAGAATCTGCAATCTGTCATGTTTTTTACCACTGGAACAAAGTGTGCTAGTAACAGATTTGGATAGAAAAAAATATATATTTATGTGAAATGAAAAATAACAATCTATGACCCAGAGTATTGAAATTATACTAAAAAAGTATATTAGTGTTGTCAAAATATCGAAAATCAGATACTAATCAATACTAAAACCAGTACTGAAGCTAGATATTCATTTGAGCAAGTATTGATACTAAAAAGAGTGACATTTACAGGACAGAAATGAAAGTCCTGAATAGTTTTAGAATGATCTTGAACTGTATCAGAGCAAGTATAGGAGCACACGGACTAGTATACGTCCACTATGGAAAATACTTGGATTACACTGGGGGATTACACAGATATAAAACCATGATGTTATATTTTAAAAATTACTATATTTTAAAGTTGAAAATTGCAAAGAGCATTTTTGATTATCACTGTGGTATTGGAATCGGTATTGAGTACTGAGTCTATTCCTCGCCACTTAGTGCCTCCACTAAATTTAATTTCTCTCCAGCGATTAGGTCAGGAATCGGAATACACTAGGTGGTTTGCAAGAACCCTGGAAGTTGTAGACCGCCCACTGGTCAATCAGCAAAGAGCTGTGAAGCCACGATGTCAAACTCAAGCACCCGTCTGGGTCCTTTTGGTGGTACAGCAAAACAGTAACCAAATCGGTCAAGATGGATGTAGACGAAGACAAACATTCTGTGTTGGCAACGATTCCTGAGATCGAGGATTTAAAGCCGAAACAAAGAGAATGTTTGGTGAATTTTATAATAGCAGTGATTGGTTAAATTTAAAAAAGTACCCGCCTACAGTCAAGAAAACGAATCCTAATGCTGCGAGGTCAGACGGTTTCCACAAAGTAAAACTGGCTGATGAATAAGGCTAGCATTGTCTATGCTGACAACGCTAAATTGTACAGAGGAAATAGAAAATGGATAGTACTGTAAAGGATGTACAATTAAGGTACAACCTTTTTTGAGTACTAGACTAATGCGCTTTTATCAGGTTGAGTAAGACACAATTTAACTTAAGTACATTTGAGACAGGACATTGTATGTGGTTTATAACTCTTTTCATTACATCACTCATTCCCACTCACATATGAAACTGAAAGCGAGGTGGATTAAGTGTGTCTTGCCCAAGGACACAAACAGTACGCATCTGTGGTTAAAACTGCCAACCTGTGGATTTGCTGGAAGCAGGACTCGAACTGCCGACCTTTGGATCAGTGGGTGTTCGCTCAACAGAGGTGTTCAAACTTTGCATGAAATAATGAAACATATTTGAAGCAGAGAAGCAAAGGTTTTTATTTTTCATTCTGCACTCTTCTCTCGAATTTAATGTCTCTCTCTCTTTTTAATCTTTTTAATTATGTTTTAATTTGTTTTTGTGATTTTAATGTATTTCTTATTCTGTAAAGCACTTTGAATTACTATGTGTATGAACTGTGCTATACAAATAAACTTGCCACCTGATGTTCAAAACACTAAATCACTCAGGTACATTTGACATAGCTTTAAGAGGGCAGTGTAAAGCTTATTAAGATCCTATAGTATGTAAGTTTTTGGAGGCGGCACGTCACCTGCATTACTTCATGGAAATAGAAAGTTAAAACCATACTTCAGAACATTTTCCATGGAGACAGATAAATTGTATGCCATACTGTGAAGTAAAATAGCCAAAGGAACAACATTTACATGGAAACAAGCAGGAAGAGGCCCTCCTCCAGCCCAAATAAGCGTCAAGGTTGTGGAAATGCAACCCTGCTCACTTTAGGACGCATGTAAAGAATGTTTTTTCAGTGCCATAAACATGCAAAAAATTATATTATACAGTAGGGGTATGCAAAAATATTGAAATATCGTATCTTTTAATGCAGTGGTCTTCAACCTTTTTCCCCTGGTTAGCTACTTTTACAAAACAAAAATTTAGTAAATATAAGAGCCATGGTGAGCCTTAGATAAGGTACAATTAGATGCCTATAAAACATAAACCATAATTTATTTATTAGTGTACACAGTTAGGCATCAAAATTATACATTTACAATGATAATAGGCATTTAATCAATCAAATCTGACTTATTCAGCACAATGTGTGTAATTCAGAAATCCCTTGGGGAGCTACTTGGAACGGGGTATAGAGCTAAAAGTTGGAGACCCCTGGTTTAATGTGATGATACAGTATCGATATCGTGGGCTGCTGTATTGATATATCACCAAGTTACAGAGCTACAGTTTTGTTGTTTGTTTAGAGGAAGGAAAATCGTTTATGCGACACATTTGACATTTTCACTGTTTTGTTGAGTAAAATGTTTGTGTTTCATTTAAACTTTGCACAAGAAGCGGTTTAACAAAGACTTAGTATCACAATCATGATTTAGGCTTTATTTTCACTGAACTGTATCGAAACGATTTGAAATATATCGTACTGAATCAAAAATGCACTGTAGCAAAATATGTATTGTATCGTATAAAGTATATTTTCTCAAAAGTTACATACTGTGGCTTGAAACTCATAGTAAAAATGTACAACCTATAATAATGTGGACAAATTTAGCAACTTTTAGACACTCCTGCTCTACCATATACGACTGCACTCTTCCAATTACATATTATTCCCAATGTGTCACTCTGATTTGATGTTTTTTCCAACACAACAGGGAAAAGGAAACAGTTTAACTCAAATGTGTTCTTCCACTTTCATATCATCGTGTCTGTAAACGTGCGTGTTGGTCTCACCGCATCAGTCTTGCAGATGGTGTTGGCGACGTGGCGGCAGAGCATCCGCAGCCAGGCACTTTTAACCGTGTCCTCCCCGGTCAGCTGGAAACTGAACAACAAGTTCTCCTGTTCTGTGGGAGGACGCACCAACAGGGCAAAGGCGTTCACACACTCTGCAGACGGAGGGAAAGAGGGAGAGACAGAGAGAGGGAGGGAGAAAGATAGTTGGAGAAAGAGAGAAGAGTAAGTGGGAGAGAGTTTTGTACAGAGAGATGTACACGCAGAGAAGGAAAGATGTACAGAGAAAGAAAGATGTATGGAGAGAGAGATGAACAGAGATGTAGAGAGAGATGTAAAAAGAGAGATGTACAGACAAAGAGAGATGTGCAGAGAGAGATGTAGAGAGAGAGAGATGAACAGAGATGTAGAGAGAGATGTAAAAAGAGAGATGTACAGACAAAGAGAGAGAGAGAGAGATACGGAGAGAAGTAGGGAGAGAGAGATGAAGAAAGAGGAGAGATAAACAGATGGAGAGAGAGAGAGCGGAGAGAAAAACAGATGTAGAGAGAGAGAGAGTACAGACAAATAGAGAGATGTACAGAGAGATGAACAGAGATGGAGAGAGAGATTAACAGAAATGGAGAGAGAGATGAACAGAGATGGAGAGAGAGATGAACAGATGGAGAGAGAGATGTAAAAAGAGAAATGTACAGACAAAGAGAGAGATATACAGAGAGATTTAGAAAGGAGAGATAAACAGAGATGTAGAGAGAGACAGAGAAATAGATGTAGAGAGAGAAGTACAGACAAATAGAGATGTACAAGAGATGCACAAAGAGAGATATATGGAGAGAGAGATGAACAGAGACGCAGAGAGAGAGAGATGTAAAAAGAGATGTACAGACAAAGAGAGTTGTACAGAGAGATAGAGAGACAATGATATAGAGAGAGAGGACAGAAAAACAGATGTAGTGAGAGAGAGATGTACAGACAACGGAGAGATAAACAGATGTAGAGAGAGAGAGAAAGAGATGTACAAACAAATAGAGATGTACAGAGATGTATAGAGAGCGAGAGATGTATAGACAAATAGATGTACAGAGATGCACAGAGAGAGAGATGTAGAGAGTGTAGAGATAAACAGAGAGAACGACATACAGACAAATAGAGTGGTGTACAGAGATGTAGAAAAAGTAAAGAGAGAGAGAGAGACATACAGACAAATAGAGAGGTGTACAGAGATGTAGAAAAAGTAAAGAGAGAGAGATGTGGAGAGAGATGAGAGAGATGTAGAAAACGAGCAATGAGACAGAGAGAGATAGAAAGATAGAGATGTAGAATGTGAGATGTACAGAGAGAGAGATAGAGAGAAAGACGTGGAGAGATGAGCGAGAGATGTCGAAAAAGAGAGATGAGAGAGAGAGATAGAGATCGAAAGATGTGTGGGGAAAAAACAGACAGGAGAAAGGGATGGGGGAGGGAGAGATAAGAGACCAAAAGAAAAAGCAAGGGACAGGAAGAGAGGGTCGACAGAAAATGAGGATGACGGACCATAGAGAGAGAAAAAGAGTGACAGAGGGGTGGGGAGAGGCAGAAACAGAAATCAAGAGAAAAAGGAGAGAGAGAAACAGAGACAGAGAGACGGAGAGAGAGGAAGGGACAATGTTAAAGCAAATCCGGGTTTAAACTGACGCAGACACAACTACATGTCTGAGAAACGATAAATGCATGAACACATTACAGATCGGTGGGACAAAACGCACAAAGGAAAAGAAACAGATGGGCGATCGAGGAGCACAGAGGCATTGAGAAAAAACTATGGGAGACAAATATACTTTGGTGGTGCGTTTAAGGAACATTCATCACAGGCCTTCGCAGAGCAGCAGATGCACACATTTATCAGGCCATTGTCCCCTCTCCAATCGCACAAAGGGAAAACAGGAAGAATGCCCACTTTTTTTTCCTCTGTGTGGTCATCAGAAACACAACCAGCTACACAGATAAATAGTTTTAAACACTGGGAGATCTTACAGTAGGGCGTAGATATTCTCTGTTTATGTGCAATTGAGTATCAGTAGAAAAATGATCACTTAACTTGCCATTTTTATATGGAAAGGTTCAACAATTGGGCTAACTACAGTCGTCCCTCACTTTCGCAGATTTTTTTTTGGGTGCTATTTTGCATGCTTTTTTTTTTTTTTTTTTAACAGCGTATAAACGTGCATTGTGTCCCTCTGTGTCCTGATTGGCTAAGGGACTGTAGACCATTGTCAGTCAGTCTCCTCTGTGCAGTGTCTCCTGTACAGGACAGGTCAACAAAATGTTGACGAAACTTTCTGCACCGACAAAGGCTCCTGCGGTCGCACCCAAAAGGCAGAGGAAGATGCAAACCATCGCACAAATAGTTGGACTTCTGGACATGTTGAAGGAAGGAAGAAGCACTTGTAGCAGAGTCCTGCACCAGGTCAGGTACCCAGGGGCAAATAGAAACGGGCGGTTTTAACGTTCTGGAATTTTACGGGCAGGTAGTGCAAGGTAGACCTCTGCACCGGAACACCGATCCTTTCTCCTGCGGTCACCCCTGAGGCCGTCTCAACAGTGAGTTCTGGTTCAATTCTGGTTTAGTCCTGGTTTAGTCCTGTTTTACTCCTGTTTTACTCCTGTTTTACTCCTGTTTTACTCCTGTTTTACTCCTATTTCTTTCCTGGTTTAATCCTCCTTTTCAGTCCTGGAATCAGTCCTGGAACCAGTCCTGGGTTAGTCCTGGGTTAGTCCTGGGTTCAATCTGTGGCGTAGGCAGCGCTAAAGTTTGATATAATCTCGGGTTAATGGGCAGGTGCGGTGCTGTACTGCGCGGGTGTGGGTCTCCAAAAATGGATCCGTGCAGGACTCTGCGCTGTAGGCTCCATTACAGAATAAATTAATCTTCGGTTCGTTACATAAAGAGGAAAATAACATAAGGACGACAGCAGCAATAAGTTTTAAGAAGGATGCATAAAAGGTTAAGTGTCCTGTCTGAAAAAAGTGTCTTAAGTGTGTGGTGAGGGGTTTCACGGCCTTATAACAGATAAAATTATTGTAAAATATAAAGTTCACTACTTCACGGATTTCACCTATCGTGGGTTACTTTTAGAAAGTAACACCCGCGATAAATGAGGGACCACTGTACGTTGATCTCATCTGAGCAACTGTTTAGTAAGGATAAAAAAAAAAATATATATATATATTTTTTTTAAATCGCACCAATTTGTACAGTCTTGGATTTGACTTTGTACTGCAGCTTGATATTATTTTCTAAAACTCTGAATTGAGTTGGTCGTATTGTTTGAAGCATCACAACAGCGGAACATGCAGAGAAATCAAACTTTAGTCACACCCAGTTGAGAGAAAAGCACAGACATCTTCCCTGTCCACAAACGCACAAATGTCAGCGTTGCCATGTTTGTTTTGGTTCGTTTGGGCACATTGCCTTTGGCTTCTGCACAGACATCAGTGCTGCTCTGTGATTAGTCTGCACCAGCGGCACGCCAAGATGGATTCTCATGTGCGCTCACAGATATCGCGAGAATCCATCTTGCTGTGCAGGGTTAACAGGCCATGTCCGGTAATAGGAATGTCAGGATCTGATGAAAGCGGTAGAAATTCACTTCAAGGTTTGGCCTATACATTATTGCTAGGGATGTAACAATAATAACCGAAATATTGTGATCTCATATCAAAAGTCTCACAATAATTTCGTGGGCTGTCACAAGATATCGAATCACAAGTTCCTTTGCTTAAATGCATGGTTTTATAGTTGCAACTGTTTGTAAACATAGGAAACTACATAACCCATGATGCATTTCAGTGCAATGTGAAGAAATGTGTTTTTTACTTGAATTCTTGGGCTTACGATGGAAATAATTCACACCAAAATCTTGTCAAGGTATTTTAAAAGCAAAAAAGTGTCCCATCTAAAATTATATCAGCCTCTTCAAAATATCGTATCGTGAGATGCATATCGTGATAATATCGTACCGTGAAATTGGGATATCGTTACATCCCTACATTTTTCATAGATGCAATGTACTTCCATAATTACATAGAGAATAAACTTAAAATTACAGTACACGTTATATTTTTGCTTTTGACATTTTTGCTTTAAAGAAAAAAAAAATACCAGAGAGACTCAATGTTTCCCTTTAAACAGAATTTATAAATGATACCATAGTGTTATTGATATCAGAGCTGAAAAAGCGTACTTGTGTTTTGTACAAGTATGCTTTTGTACTTGTACTTATGTTACCCTCGTCAAACAAGGGCACAACAGGCACATATAATCTTTGAGTGCTTCTTACCCTCTGTGTCCTGCAGGTCCAGCACTCTCCTGATCTGGGACAGGGGCATGAGGGCGATGTGCTTGAGCGGGGGCGGGGGTCGTGTCTGTCCCAAAGGACTCTTGAACGTATTGATGACTTTGTGGCGCTTCCGTGCGATCTATAAATACAGACACACAGAGAGAGGCAGAGTGCGTGAGGCTCCGTGGGCAGACAGGTCGGATCGAGTGTGGTTAGCCGTGGGACCGGGGACGTCATTAGTTAACCTGGCAATTCGTCAATGGAGCAGCTCATTAATGAAGGCTAATTAGGAGAAGAGAAGGAAAGAGCAGACGCAGTGATAGTGTTTTTAGAACTGGACAAAAAGTGGCCTGTGACATAAATATTTAGCAACCTCTGCTTAAATCTCAAGTGCTTACGAGGTTAATACACTCAATTTAACCTTTAACAATGAAGCTTTAAAAAATACTATTCCATCATTGTATCTACCCTGACAATATCTTTCTGCAAAAAATGAATAAAAATTTGTTAAGATAAATTGTAGTCATCTTTTGAACAATGTTTGTACATCACTACTTTCTAAAAAGGTGGAATGTCTTCTTCATGATTCCATAGAAAATAGGGATGGCAGAAGACAATTTTCACGAGACGAGACTCACCATGAGATTGGGTCCACGAGAAAGAGACAAGATGAGAATAAGACAGAATTTGTAATAAATAACATAATGCAATCAATTTTGGCTGTGGTCACTGTAAACAGCTTTTTTGAACTACAGCTTTTGAAATTGTACCAGCTTTTAACTTTCTCATGTATGCTCAATCTTGTGGCAATTTTGTCTAGCAAGATTTTGTGGCATGAGATCTTGTTCCATCCATTATAGAAAAAGAAAGTTAAAACCATACTTCGGAACATTCTCCATGGAGATAACGCTTTATGCCATACTGTGGAAGATTATTAGCCAGGCTGGCGCCACCTTGTGCCTCCACTCAATTTCATTTCTCTCCAGCAACTAGGTCAGGAATCAGAATACACTACGGTTTGCAAAAAACCCAGGTGTGTGAGTTCAGGCACCAGCCAATCAGCGAAGAGTCATATATTCCATGTTGGCAACGATTCCCAAGATTGAGGATTTAAAGCCAGAACAAAGACAATGTTTGGTGAATTTTATCAAGGGGAACAAGGTTACTGCCCTACGGAATTTGGGAAAAGCTTAATATACCAGTTAACCCTGTTAACGGCACATTACATACGTCATGACCAAATAGCAGCGATTGGTTAAATTAAAAAAGTATCTGCCTACCTTCAAGTGACAAATTCTAATGCTGCAAAGTCAGACGGTTTCTACGAAGTGAAACTGGCTGATCAATCAGGCTAGAAGATTATAGCCAGGAACAACATTTCCAACACAAGCAAGTGGAGTAAGAGTCAGGTTTGTGGAGAAGCAAGCATGCTCAGAGTAAGGATGCAGATTTATTACATTTTCTTACTGCAATAAACACAGCCAAAATGTTTAATTATATCATTTTGAGCTATACAGTTACATACTGCAGGTTTACCATAAATATTAATCCCAAAATATTTAACTCTACATCAGCAAGTTTTCAAATGTTTGCAAACAATGTAAAAAGGTCATGTTCTGGCATTTTCATTTCATTTACATCAACAGTTTTGCTTCTAAACTCTGTATGGTGTTTTAATAACATTGTCTACTGTTCTAAATCATTTTAGGGGGAATTGTAGCACAAACGGGGTCAAGCTGCAACATTGTGTTAAAAAAAAAAAAGGTAAATAACTACTGTAGTGTGAGCTTCCTTCAGTGATTTCAAGTATGTAGTGACATCACACAGGACTTCAAGGCCATACCACTTTCCCCTCCGTTTTGTGCGTTCACATGTAGGGGTGGGGGTGTCCCAGTTACCATTATGGCAGACGGGTAGGGGAAAGTGGTAGGGCTATATACCCCTCCAAACGAAGATTCTCCGGTTAGCTGCAGGCAACCGTAAAAATATGCCAATAGCCCACGCAACAGAGACCACCACAGTTGTAGACGACATGTTGGATTTCTGGCAAAAGCTTGTCGTGTCTGTTTACGTAAAAGCTTGCGGACACTATTGAAGACATATGTGATTGCTGAATGGGGGTCCCAATTCGTACAGGTTTACTTTCAACCCCTACCACTTGTTGCTCAGTTTTAAGGCGCAAGGGGTAGAAATTAGAAATGGGATTGGCCCCAAGTGTAGCTATCTGTTAAACCAATCACACTGTTCCTCAAATTTATCTTAAAAGGTGCACCATTTAACTTTTTGGTTGGTCTGTCGCCTGCTTGGAGTATTCCACAGTATGACATTAAACAGCTCTATCTTACATTTATTCAATTATAGACTGTTTAAACCTCAAATATACCTAGAAAATCTGGCATTCTGACTGTGAGCGGGGTGGGCTCTCCACAGATCTGAGCTACAACTTGGTCTGGTTTGGTCTCTGTGAAGATAGAAAGGTTTAATGTCACACTGTGAAACATTCCAGATAGGGATTTAACAGTAACCGAAATATTGTGGTTATCGTATTATCAAAGTTCTCGCAATAATATCGTGGACCATTACAATATATCGAATCACAAGTCTCTTTGCTTAAATTAAGAGTTATAGGTTAAAAAGTAAAAAAAAAAAAAGACAGGGGGAACCATTTTAGGTAGACTACAAGAATAAATAACAGTTCTAAGCACTTTTAAGTCTTAGTTTTTTTGGATTTAGACTTGACAAGGCACTTAAAGAGGAAAAAGTAACATTAACAGTTTTAGCTGTTTACCATCCACAAAATCTTGCAATAAATATCGTACTGTGAGATGTGTATCGTGAAAATATCGTACCAAGAGATTTGGATACTGTTACATCCCTAATCGTGAGCTTTCCCACGATACCGCAATAAATATCCGTGACAATATCGTATCGTGAGTCTTGGATATCATTACTCCCCTAATTCCAGACAAAGCAACAACATCTTCGTGTTCGACAGACCCTCCACCAGAAGAGAAACACAATGCACCCTTAAGTCTCGCATCTTAACAACTAAACAATTAAGATGTTGAATACAGTTAAAGCAGTTTTACCCACTGTTTTAATATATAGCACATGCAAACATTTATTGTAACCATTAATTCAAATATTGAGCGTTTCAGAATAGCGCATCATATTTTCTCTCATGGCTTCCTAATAAAGCCATACCACAATCCATATCTGCACAGAAGCGCGCCGCATCATAAGTCAAAGGTCTGTGCGAGTGATTATATTCAGAGCTGTTGTACGCGCCGATCAATATTAAACAAGGCCGCGTTCTATTAACAATGCGCATTAATATGGACTGTGTGTACAATTAGCGGCGCGCACGCGGATATCGGAGATGCGTGTGTGACTGGCTCTCATTAGGGGGCGCTTTGACACGTCTGATTCAGCGAGTCCGCCCGCCCACGCACTGCATTTCCTGAAGTCTGCTCGGAACTATCACTCCGGCTAATGCTTTCTCTGCTCGTGTCAGCAACAATGGACACAATACACAAGAAGCGAGTCTAATACGAGCTAATGGACTTCGTGAACAGTACATTAGGGGGAAAAAAATGTAGGAAAAAAATTTGACATTGTGATGTGATTTATTTTTTATCAGGAATTTCATTGTGCCAATTTTAAACTTGTCCAAGAGCATTAAAGTGAGGATTCAGATCAGAGGAGTTCAGTATAGAAACTGGCAACTCAAATGAGACACTCGTGAGGCTCATTCTGCTTTCTGATTGGATACTTGTTTCTTGTTTTGAGAACCAAATTATAACAAATGAGTCCAAGATAAATTTCCCTAAGGAGGAACAAACTTGGGTATCATGTCCAATGTTTTTGTAATTATGAATAAATACAGTTGTTGTCAACTGTTCGAGGGCCAGATCCAGCTTGTGGTGCCAAAGATGAGACTTCAAACCAGAGGGGACAGGGCCTTTTCTGTGGCAAACTCTGGAACGCTCTGCCCCCCCATGTCTGGACAGAGTGTTTTAAGTCGCATCTTAAGACCCACTTTTACTCTCTGGCTTTTAACACCGCTTGAGTTGTGTGGTTATCTGTGTCACTGATTTGTTTTAATGTGTTTTTTTAAACCTTTTTATTATTTATTGATATTCTTGCTCTTATCCGTTTTTACTTTTATTGTCTTAACAGGGACTGGTGGAGCTAAATCAGGGTATCCCCCGGTTTGACTACCCCAAATTTAAGACGTTTTAAAGACCTTTTTTAGATCACTTAAGACCAACATCGCACCCAGTATGCAGGCAAAAAATACCAGATCCAATTCTAACAATGACCAACCAACTACTATATCTAGAATCTAAGAGCCACTGTGGATTAAACCGACACTTCCCCATGATCCATCCAACGTCTTCCTCCACTGTACTGATTGTTTACTCATTGCCGCCGGTGCCAGAAACCAAATATTTTTTGTGCATACTCCAAATTAGACGTTTATTCACGTTACATGAGTTCACGTTGTTTTTTTTTCCCCCCTCCCTCCATTTAACATTGCACTGCAGCACGGTTGAGAATACAAAAAAAAAAAAAAAAAGTCTAATGAAATTTTAGACGCTTTGTGAAAAAAATAAGACTTGGACAACATAATTAAAGACCTTTTTAAGACTTTTAAGACCCTGCGGCCACCCTGTAAATAGAGCCTTATTTAATATTTCTATTGAATATATTTTATCTATATTATGCAACTGTTTTGTTTATGAAATGTGCTATTGAAATAAATTGGATTGGACTGGAGTAAAAAGCTAAATATAGCTTTGGAACATGTTCACCTCATTTCTGGGAACACAGATGGTTCATGTTTATGGAATTTAAAATCTAAATCTTACATATGGTTCTATTAAGATTCAAAGCTAATATATGAACCGATAGACAAGAATCAAAAGCATTTCAAAATGTGTTTATAGAGGCCTAAACTACAGGGTTAGCAGGGAGTAATCGAATTCTAGTATAGTACAAATATTTTTAGTATAGGCCACTATGATATGTATTGCGAAGGGAAGCAAGTAAGAATTTCAGAGCATAATATAAAGTATGTTTTCACTTGTTACTACATGATAATTAGAATATTTAAACCTTTGAATCCTTTACTGAAAGGCTGCACAGTAAGGCACTTAATTGATATATCTCTGTGGAAAGCAGGAAACACTGCAAGGCCAAGGTTACGTCTCTGAAGAGGCAAGCCCGCTCACAGTAAGAATGCGCAATATGCAATAAAATTACCTGTAATAAAATGCCAAATAAACATGTTTAACGCCACAGTGAGGAAGAGTCCAACATCAAGAAACTGGCAGACCCTCCATCAGAAAAGCTACATGGTGCACCTTTAAATGACTGCTTTTTGGAATTCCCCATATGTGACCATCCAACTGTGATTTTCATTTTGTGTTCTCACCTCCAAACAGTCATTGAAGAGGAAGAGCGTGACGTTTTCCCCGCGGTCACACGGCTGGTCTCCCAGAGCAATAGTCTCGACCCTATAAACCAGACTGCGATGCGAGGACAGCAAATTGGCCTAAAAGAAAGACAATAACATGTTCTACTGATGTCAAAATTCAAGGTTGCGCAAGAAGCCATTAGGAGGTACTTACAGGGCAGCCATCAACTTCATAAACCACGTCAAAAATCTGCTTTTGGCCTTCAGTTTTTCTCTTGTCCTCATTAATATGTCTAGAAAGAACAAATGCAGTTTTATAAAATCCACGTAAGAGAATTAAGGGACGATGGAGAAATACTGTAATCTTTACAGAAAAAAAAGAACCATATAATTCAGACTATAAGTTGCCCTTTTTCTCATGGTTTGAGTGTTTCCTGTGACTTATCTATTAAAATTTTCACACTGACAGCTTCGAGAGGGCACTTTAGGCTTGTGGGTCAGTATCTGCTACTACTATTAATCTTGTACCACTGTCACTTCACTCTACTGCGCATGTCTCCTGCAGAAAGTAGAGAAATATGCAGCCGAAACGGAACAACGTTCAATGTTCAATGAGCAACAGAAACGAGCAACAGAAAGAAAGTTTGGTGTGAGCAAAAATCTTGTGGGGGACTGGCGGAAAGCGGGGATGGAGAACACAGCTTCACAACAACGAGGCGGGTGGGCCATGCAACTTTCCTGGAAGTCACTGGATGGATCGACAAAGCCTGAACTTCAGTGACAGCCGAATCCATCCTGTCGAGATTTAGAAAGGCCAGAATAATTCTAACTGGAACTGATGCTGAGTCTGACGACAGCTACACAGAAGAGGAAGCGGCGCTCTGTTCACCTCCAGAGATCGCGGAGTTGCTCAGAAGTGACACCGAGGATTAAGAAATCAATGGATTTAGTGATTTGGTGTGAGATGGAGAGTTTGGTAAACTTGTTAAACTGTTCTGTTGTTCATGCTATAGTTTATCTGAAGAACTGTTCATATGTGACGTTAACAGCCTGTTGTTCTCTATTCTATTGTTATTACTATAACTTTCTTTTCGGGTTGAAATGGGTTGGTTCCTGGTCTCTGATTTTATAAATTAAATTTCCCCCATTTTTCAGCTGGTGCAACTTATACTCCAGAGCGATTTATAGTCCAAAAAATACGGTACATGTTATGGTAGTGGGAATATCAGGTGGCACAGTAGGGCACAAGTAGTTAAATAAAATAAAAAATTGCTGTATCCTTACACAAGATACTTAACCCACCTTGTGTGAATGTGTGTTGTAGCTTTCCACCATAGAATGTTGAGTGAAAGAATAACGCACAAAACTGTATATGCCGCACTTCAAAATGTGTTATCGTGACTAGTCCATCAACACCAGTATTAGATTGGTGCATCCCTTTTAAAAAACGACTGCAACTTGAATAGCGTCCATTCGTTCTACACTCTGTTTCTTAATGACTCTAAATTACACATTACTACAAAAAGGCGAGTCTATTATTGCGGTGTTAGGGTCAGGAGTAACAAAGGCGCAGGTCAAATCTACTCACGTCATGACTTCTTTCAGAGACTCGATGGCCTTCTCCAGCGTTATCTTGTCGGGGTTGTCATCGGCTGTGTGCTTCTTTATGTCTGCCGAGTTTGGAAAGACAAAAATTGAATAAAACTTTCTCGCCGACAAATTATGAAGCGGGAGAGATAGGGAAAACGCAAGTGGCAATGTAATTAGGACAAGAGATTCATTTGTCTGAGCTATTGAAGAAGAAATAAGTGTTACCGTTCAGAAGCAGGGCAACGCTGGGCAGCCTCTGCACAGGTCGAATGAGGAGCTCCACTAATGTCTGTCTGCCGCACTCCGGTTTGGCCTGGTTTATCTGTCAAGAAAATTAAAGCATGGTAGGGTTTGTTCAATTCGAAATCCTAAAATGTAGCTATTGATACTTTGCAGAGAGGTCACGCTGGGGGTGCTCTGCATTTACGCATTAACGTGTTGGAGGATTGTTCATCAGTTACCATGGAGACACAATGTACACAGTAGGAAAGGCTGCGCGAAAAGGTTAAGATCATCTGAACACTCACAAAAACAACACATTTTCAGAAGCCTGTGATGCATTCGTTCGATCAAGAATCCTAAAATGACGCTATTGTGTGAACTAACTTGATTATTTTTTTATTTGTTTTTTATTTCAAGTTTGTGCCAAGAAAGAAATAATCATACCACATATACATTGTAAACAACAGAAAAGCACATTTCTCGAAAAGGAGAGGGAAGAAGAAAAAACTTATAAATGAAATGTATGGCTGCTCAACGTATTAAAATTGAATCAGAATTTGAGCAGGGGAATCATCAAAGCAAATAGTGAAGTTTGCAATTATTTAGGTAATGTCTATTATAAATAAAATAGTGTGTATGGTCATAAAAATGATAAAGCTTCAGTTTTTAGATAAAATATTTAAAAAAACAATATTTAGCATAAATAAGTTATTTTTTTCTGTAAATTCGTTTTAATTAATTTCATTTTATTTTGGTTGATTTTCACCAATTACATATTGTTTCGAGGGTAAGTTTTTACGGGTGCACTGCCTTAATTGAGAGACACAGGAGGACTGACCTCTGAGCCAAAAGGATATTTTTTGTTTTAAAATGAAAGTTTTCAAAAGCTCAAGACTTTATTCCCTTTGAGTAGATGTGGCCAATGAGGTACATTTTGTGCTATTTTATTGTGTGATTACTTTTCTGACCGTGTTTTGTATCCGAGGGTTAATTTTAAGTTTCTTTTTTTTTCTTTTCTATAGTTCTGACAGAATGAGTCTGCATTAAGGTTCATTTACATGTGAAGACATGTAAAAGACTCCAGTCCGAATAAATGCTTGTTAAAACCAAAGAATGATTTTGAGCCTTGTTTAACCTCGAGGGGAGTAACACTGTCCATATACTGATGTGACAGGACACACTACAGTTCCTATACAGTATCTTTTATGTTCCTGGAGTCGTTTACAATGAGTACTCTGAACAAAATCCTGCTTCTTCAAACATATATTGTAATCACAGTTCCAATACCCCAAAATTGTGTTTCTCAGTTATTTTGATTAAAGCTGAACTGTGCCTTTTATTTTAAGAAATGTCATTAAAGTTCATAATATGACATGGGTAAAATATTGCGTAGCTTTTAATAGGCCCACAGAGTTATATTCATAAAAATATGTTATTTACGCTTAAATAATAGATAGGAGAATTTATAGTTCCACAGTGGTGCTTTGGGAGACTGGTTTCTTAATTTAATTTATTTGCTATTTGCCACAACAGCCACATTCAATTTTTTTTTCTTTTGCTCTTGCTGCTATTTGTTACAGTTACAATTGTAAAGTGCTGGTTTAATATTTATTTGAAAATGCTTTATTTCTCAATCTTATTTGGTTTTACTCCAGGTTTCGTCCCAGTTTACTTAATAGCAGCTTGAACTGAATTAAATTTTAAAGCTGTAAATTGTAGAGTTTTGGTTTAGAATTTTTTTGAAAATATTCTACTTCTCATCTTATTTGGTCTAGTCCTGGTCTAGTCCTGGTCTAGTCCTGGTCTAGTCCTGGTCTAGTCTGGTCTAGTCCTGGTCTAGTCCTGGTCTAGTCCTGGTCTAGTCCTGGCAGAGGTGGGACCAAGTCGTCATTTTGCAAGTCTCAAGTAAGTCTCAAGTTTTTGACCTCAAGTCTGAGTCAAGTCCCGAGTCAAATACAGGCAAGTTCAAGTAGAGTCTTGAGTCACTGGCCCATAAGTCCAAGTCGTCTCCTTAGAGCTTCAAGTAATTTCAAGTCTTTAAAGCAAAGAACCAAATATAGGTTTGATTTTACAATTTATATGCATTTTAAGATAAACTGTACTTAGAAAGTCAAAGTACATTTATATATGAGTATTTATACAGTATATAAAAGTAGTAGAAATGCATTTTTTTTTCCTTTTTAAATGTCTTGACAAAATTTTAGAGTGAATCATTACAGTCAGAATAGAAAGAATTCAGATTTAAAAGTGCTTTTGTAGTCTTCTCAAGTCCAAGTCAAGTCCCAAGTCTTAGCCCATTTTATCAAGTCAAGTCTCAAGTCCTAAAAATAGTGACTCAAATCGGACTCGAGTCCAGGTCACGATTTGCAAGTCCCCACCTCTGATTCCTGGTCTAGTCCTGTAATTCATACAGTTCATAATAATTAGCAAACCTATACAAATTAAATAAAACTTGACTGCAGGTCCTTACAGACACAATATTTGCATAAACTGAATTCAAATTAAATTAAAAAGTTGTAAATTGTGAAGTTTTGGTTTAGTCTTTATTTGAAAATGTTTTTCTTCTCATCTTATTTGGTTTCAGTCCTGGTCTAGTCTTGGTCTAGTCGTGGTCCTGTAATTCATACAGTACATAATTATCAGCAAATCTATTCAAATTAAATAAAACTTGGCTGCAGCTCCTTACAGACAAAATATTTGAATTTGAATTAAGATTTAGTTCTGTGTGTACAAAAGGTCACATGGAAGCCAGAACATACCTTGAGAAAAGCATGAAAACGTGGCTTCTGTTTCTCACAGCGTACAATGGTCTCTTTGCTCATTTCAAAGAAGTTGACAAAAGGTGGATAGGTCCTCACCAGGTCTTTGGACTGAAAACAAGAACAACCGTAGTCATGGCAACACATCATAAGCTTCACAAAGAGGTACATGAAATTTCTCAACATATCCTAACTGTTTATAGGTGAACTATGTCGTTTTTTGTGTCGTTTCTTTGCCTGTAATAGGGGTGTGCAAAAATATTGAAATATCGATATATCGTATTGTTTAAGGTGATGATACAGTATCGATATCGTGGGCTGCTGTATTGCTGTACCACCAAGAGTATTTTTTGGTATATTTTACTGAAATATTTTGTTACAGCTACAGTTTTGTTGCTTGTTTAGAGAAAGAAAACTCATTTAAGCGACAAATTTGACATTTTCAGTGTTTTGATGATTAAAATGTTTGAGTTTGATATGAACTTTGCACAAGAAGTGGTTTAACAAAGACGTTTAGTATCACAGTCATGATTTAACCTTCATTTTTAATTGAACCATATCAAATTGATGTAAAATATATCATATCGAACCAAAAACTCACTGTATCGAGGTATTGGCAACTTCTTAATGATACCCAGCCCTAGCCTGTAATGTTTAACAGTATGGCTTTAAATTTGTCTATTTCCATGGAGACAAACGACTGACTGGACCAAGCCAAGTTACAGGTCAGATCTGTGCAGAGGCGACCCTGCTCACAGTAAGAACGTTTGTTTTCAAGGTATCATTGAGGAATAAAAATATCTGTTTAAAGCCATACTGTGAAATATTCCAGGCAAAGCAATAACAGAACTCCTATCACCAGAAAAGTTACATAGAGGAGCTTTAAATAAGAATGTGTTGATGTTTTCGGTTATCTTAATAAATGAAAACACAAATAAATGATTCAATTGCAAATACATTGGACTTGAACTCACATATTTAAGGATAATATCTCCCACACTGTTGTCTTCAGACCAGTCTGTCAGAAGATCCTCCAAGTCGCTCTGTAAAACACCACGCAATTAGATTTCAGAAGATTATGCAATGATGTCAAACTGATACGAACAGATATTGCGCACACCTTTATCCTCTTGTGAACTTCATATATATCCGGAATGCTACCAAATATGGTCTTGAGTTCCTCTTGTGCCAGAATGGGCCCTCCCACTTGCCCCTCTTTCTCCAGTGGAATCTTGAAGAGCTGAAACGGAAAAGAAAAGTACATATAAATACCAAAATTGACCAAATCTCCAGCTAAATCATAAACTATTCCTATATGTAAATGGACATAGCTACCCCGCCAGCCGCCACGTCCAAACAGAAAGTGATCATGAGTATTCTTCCAACTCCATCGACTCTTTAATATTATTATTTCATTATTTTGTAGGGATGAGACAAAACACATTTTCCACAAGAAGAGACGAGATATGAGATGAGATTTTAATATAATTCCTAATATATACATTTCACAATTCAGTTTTCAATTTTGGCCATACAACATTTTATTAATTTGATTTCATATTTTTGTTTCCATTCTAAAAGCCCTGGGACAGTTTTTGTCTCATGTATTTGATCGAAATGGGTCTACCCCAGTGCAGATATATTGTATAAGCAGCGCTTGTGAACAAAATAAGACCTCTGTGTACTGTCTGCATCTAATTTCAACGTGTTTTATTGTCCGATAATCAGGGAGTGCACTGTTAGCATGCTGTTTGTGACAGTAAAACTTCACACTAGTCTCTAAAAATTGTGAAATGTGCTCAAATTTGCTGCAGTGAATAATTAAGATGCTCGTGATGCATAAAATAAGCGAAAAATAACTCTGGACCACTGTTTAAAATGAGCTAGTTCTGTTTTTCACATTTTTAAGACAATAAAATTCGGCTACAGCACCTTTAACTGACATGTAAAAAACAGAAATGCCAGAAAAATATAGTGTTGTCAAAAGTTTCGACATACAGATACTTATAAATACTCAAATTTATATCGAAACTAGACACTCATTTGAAGTTATATACTGAAAAAAAAAAAAAAAAATGAATAGATTTAGAAAGATCTGCAGTGCATATTAGAACTAGTATAACCACGTGCTTTTTATGCTGAAAATTATTGTCCAAAGAGTCATTTTATCATCATGTGTGGTATCAAAATTGGTATAGAGAATTTTCCTTAGTATCAAAATAGAGTTAAAAATTTTAGTATGGTGACAGCACTAAAAATATAGGAGAGCTTTATGTGTGTGGACCATCTGCCTAGAATAAACATCCCTCTCGTACTCTTGAGAAAAATACTACCTGCCCAGCTGTTGTTGCAATATAATGACAAGTTAGGTCATCCAACAACATTATCTTTGAGAGCAGTACAATATTACTGCGTGGTGTGGTGTATACCGAGTCTCTTCCCAGGAAGTTTTCAAAAAGTGCTTGTTCGGATTCAAACTAAGGCTGCTCGACACTGAAAAAAAACATTTTAATTATACTTAAAATTTCAATTATTTGCTTAGAGAGAAAGTGGGGTACAAGCACGCCTAAAATGCAGCAAATGAATAGCTGAAATGTAAAAGGTGTCACATGTCTGAGAAATAGATACTTTGACAGTCTACATGTATGTCTATGGTGGAATGTACAGCAGTTACCATGGAGACACAATACACACATTAGCAAATACTGTCAAAGAAGGTCTGAAAACTCAAGAAAAAAAATACAAAATACAAAATTGAATTAAAGAACTCGTTTTCAGGAGCCTGTGATCAGAGAAACCAGGATACTCATGTCCCTGCGTACATGCGGCATTACAGTATCCTGGATATTTAGAGTTGTTGCTATGGTAACTATGGCGCAGATATGGCAAGGAGCTTAACATGTAGCTAACTCAAGTCTTTTTAATGGGTTTCTAAAAACAAAAAAAGAAGACATAGATTTGAGTAAGAACATGAGACTGTGGAGCTCTGTCATAACTTCAGTAAAAGGTGTTTTTAACAGCTGAAAAACACAACAGAGCCTCACAGAGTCAGTTTGGTTCAAGAGCAACACAAACCACCACAGAAGTAAGCCTGGTGTTAAAATGTGGTTGAATTAAACAGTAGACTACTATATTTTGCTTAAAAAAAGTATTAAGTTTAAAAGTATAAAGTATAAAATATTATTACTTTAAAAGTTCCTGGTAGGAGATAGAGTTGTTTTGGGAAAGTAACTGCTCCTACCATATCTGTTACTTTAGATTAACCAGTTTTGAGAAATTAGGATACTGTGGCATGCAGACCAAGTACCCAGTAAGAGTATCCTGGTTTCGTATAACTGGGATATTGGCATATCCAGAATACTGAAAGTCAGGATACTGCATCTACATGGACACTCACATAACCAGGTGTGCAAAAATATCAAAATATTGATATATCTTATCATTTAATGTGACAATACAGTATCAATATCGCGAGCTGCTGTATTGATACATTATTTTTTGGTATATTTTGTTAAATTATTTTGTTACAGCGCTACAGTTTTGTTGCTTGTTTGAAGGAAGGAAACTTGTTTATGTGACACATTTGACATATTCACTGTTTTGATGATTAAAATGGGTGTGTTTCATATTAACTCACAAGAAGCATAAGAAGTGGTTTTGCAAAGACTTTTAGTATCACGGCGATAATTTATTTTTTATTGAACTGTATCGATTCGATTTGAAATATATCGTACTGAATTGAAAGTGCACTGTATCGAGATATGTATCATATCGTGGCCTGTGTATCGAAGGATGTATCATATCAGCAACTTCTGAATGATATCTAGCTCTAACCAGGATGCTTAAAAAACCCGATCATAACCAGGATACTCGAGCGCATGTATACACACTCACTGACAGCCCTTGTCCATGGTGAACTTATGGGCAGAAGGATTCTATTATGCGAAGGTTAGAGCTACCAGACAGAAAACCAAGAGGACGGCCAAAATATGACTCTTTATGGATGTAGTGTGGAGTGGCCCATGATGTTAGATGATACGACACAAAAAAATGCAGAGGATAGGGTTAGCTGTCAGCTGGCTATGATGACCCCTGAAAAACTACGAAAATCTTGAGTTCACAAAAACAGCAGAGGCTAGTATAAAAAGTAGCCCGATAAAATGGAGAAATCAGAAGGGAAAAAAAAGCAGATAGCAGAGAAGAGAAGTTATATTTTTGGAGGGCGGCGAAAACGGTCAGGCAGGTCATTTTCTCCCTGGCTGGTTCGCTGTCCGAGTCTGAGCTGGGACCGGGTGATAAGCGCGCACACTTTTAATGACTAGAGCGCTGTCAGGGGCAACGGGGGAGCGTGGAGAGGAGAAGGAGGGGGAAGAAGAAGAAGAAGAAGAAGACTGTGTTAGCTACGAGCGGAGGCGGCTAGCTACCTGTAGGAAAGTGCCGAGGATGTTATAGTGATAGAGATAGTTGCTCTGGTGAGGGGTTTGAATACTGAATATATAAGATGTTTTTTTATATAGGTTACAAGCTCAAATTGAATCTTGTTTGGATATAAATTAGAATATTAAGTATATATTTAAAAGAAAAGTCAAATAAAAGGTGAGCCATGCAACTTTTCAGGTGGAGTGTTCAACTGTTGGAGTTGCTTTTGCTTTGACTGGATTTTTCCACATTAAAAACTTAACTAAGGCTTGGGCGATATGGTGGAAAAAAAATAAAAAATTCCCCCATACTGATCAATCTAGATTTTTGATTCGATCTTCTTCCATCTTATTAAAACACATACACAGGCGGACTTCAGGCTAAAAGAGAGGGGTGTCGTTCACCAAAGTTTTTATTTCGTGTTGATAGGACCAATAACTCAACAGAAACACGTGTGATGTCTCTGCGCTAAATCAGGACTTAAGTTTCACTCGTAAACGGTGAGAAAATACTTGTTTACTCTCGTAACTTGAATTATAATTATAAGAGGAGAGAAACAGAGGAGAAAAGGTAAGGAGCTGGATCAGAGAGGGAGGGAAAGCGGGGAGAGGGACAGTGGACTTTTAGTCATACTTGTGAACGCGTGAGGAGACAAAGAGACGTGCTGTGGCTCAGGCTGCTTTTTCCTAAACAAGAGAGCATAATTCCTCGTCAGCACCATGCACTCTTACTGCCACACGATTGCCTGCAGACTTGTTGATTAAAACACGCATGCCATATAATCAAAATTAAAGAAGAGATTGCGATCTATTGATCTTTCGATTTTTAGCACAGCCTACTATTAACTAGTCTGATTCGTCAGCCAGTTTTACTTTGTGGAAACCGTCTGACCTCACAGCATTAGAATTTGTTCGCTCTACGGTAGGCGGGTACTTTTTTTATTTAATCAATAGCTGCTGTTTGGTTGTGACGTATACAATGCGCCGCTAATGGTGTTAACTACTATATTAAACTTTTCCCAGATCCCGTAGGCAGAAGGGCAATAACGTCTTTCTCCTTGATCAAATTCACCAAACATTCTCTTTGTTCAATCTTTAAATCCTTGATCTCGGGAATTGTTTCCAACACAGAATATATGGCTCTTCTCTGATTGGCTGGTGTGCGAACTCACATGTCCGGGGTTTTTGCAAACCATCTAGTGTATTCTGATTCCTGACGTAGTCGCTGGAGAGAAATAAAATTAAGCAGAGGCACTAGGTGGCCCCAGCTTGGCTAACTATTGAATATACAAACTATCTCCATAGTGTCTGTGTAATCCCTCAGTCGTCCAGGTATGATCCTAAAACTTTTCTCTTTTGCTCTCTCCATAGAGAAAAAAGAGCTGACGCTATCAGCTCAAGTTACAAGTCAGATCTGAGGAGAGGCAACCCTGCTCACTATAAAAAATGGCATGTTCTTAAAAGCAAAAAACACTTATAATTGAACAAATCCAAAATATGTGTTTAATGTCATGCTGTGGAATATTCTATACAAAGCTATAACTTCTCAATGGAAACAAGCAGGAGACAGAACCTCCATCAGAAAAGTTACATAGTGCGTCTTCAAACAATTGGGAAGAAAAATAAAATAAAAGTAACTTCAAGTATATCATTGTGAGAGTATAAAATTTAAACCTTAGTCGGGCCACTGTTCACTGAGGCAAAGTGTGTGGTCTGGGCAGAAGTGGACACTCGCAGGCAAAGACACTGGTACTTGTTTATTTACAAAGGGAATTATGAGTCTGCTGCCTCCAGATCTCTGTGCAGATATTCAACAAAGAACAGATCGACGGTATTCTCTGCGATCTCAGTGTTACTTTCTGTACCGACTATTCACAGAAACTGGTCAAGTAGCATTTCAATATTCTGCCCACAACCTGGAATTTACAAAAGTCCTTGAAACTAAAAGAACGGGTCCCAAAAGGTCAGTTTAAAATATCGCTTTGAAGTGTGGAAATGGCATCTGTGGTCTTTAACTGTTAAGTTACAACTTCTTGTGAGGGGTTTTGAATGGTCAAACTTTTTAATCGATGTTATGCCCACGGCTCACTTGAAATCGTGACTTTCCTAGTTAAACTGAAAGGTTCACTGTGTAACTTTCCTGGAGAGAGTCCACAACCTGTTCCATGGCGAAGTTGACACTTTGGTTTAACTTGTCTGTCTTAATCTGTCTTGTACTTATTCAACTACAGGTGTTATTTATTCCTCAAAAGTACAGTATCTTAAAAAAAAACATGAACTCTTACTGTGAGTGGGGTCACCTCTCCACAAATCCAACCTGTAATTTGGCTTGCAAGTCTCCATGGAGATTCTTAAGTTTACTGTGGAACATTCTAGAGAGGTGCATGCAGGTGACAGATACCCAGGCTGGCACCACCTAGTGCCTCCGCTCAGTTTCATTTCTCTCCAGCAACTAGGTCAGGAATCAAAATACACTAGACGGTTCGCAAAAACCCCTAAGTGCAAGTTCGGGCACCAGTCAATCAGCAAAGAGCCATACATTCTGTGTTGGCAACGATTCCTGAGATCGAGGATTTAAAACCGGAATAAAGAGAATGTTTGGTGAATTTTATCAAGGGGAAAGACGTTATTGTTCTTCTTCCTACGGGATTTGGGAAAAGCTTAATATATCTGTTAGCCCCGTTAGTGGCGCATTAAATACGTCACGACCAAATAGCAGCGATTGGTTATATGACAAAAAGTACCTGCCTACCATCGAGCGAATGAATTCTAATGCTACAAGTTCAGACGGTTTCTACAAAGTCAAACTGGCGGATGAATCAAGCTAGGTGACAGACGCTCCACCGGACAAAATATACAGTGCACCGTTACGGTTAAATAAATGTAAAAATTTGCACAATACTCAAATCTCAATCATTTAATATAAAGACATGTTAAGAACTATATCAGTGGTTTAAGAACAGAGATTAGCCACCTACCAAAGTGGAGCTGTAAGTGGTGATGGAGCTAAAAAAGAAAATCTGACACTCTAGGTTGCGATCTTTGCTTTGGTCGATCTCGATAAGGCATGCGCATTTTAATCGACAGGTCTTCAGCCAATCGTGTGGCAGTAAGAGTGGTAAGCATGCTGACGAGGATACACTCTCTTGTTTACAGAAAAAGTAGCCTGAGCCACAGCACATCCCTTTGTCTCCTCAAGTGTTCACAAGTTTTGACTTGCATCTGCACAAATTGGCTAAAAGTCCAGTATCTCTCCCTCTGGCTCTGTTTGTGCGGTGCTGTCTGTCCACTCTCTCTCCCTCTCTCTGATCCAGCCACAGCTCCTCACCTTTTTTCCTTTTTCTCTCCTCTGGTGCTTCTGATCATTATAACCCAAATTACGGAAAGTAAATGTTTTCTCACAGTTTATGAGCTCTGTTGGTAGCAGTAGAGGACATGCACGTGTGTCTACCACTAAAACTGTAGTGATCCTGAAACCTTGAAACCTTGCCTTATGCATGAAGTTCACACCTCTATGTTATTAATAAGATGGAAGAAAATCGAATCGAAAATAAAGATCGATCAGTATGTGGGGAAAAAAACATGATTACTTTTTCTCCCATATTGCCAAGCTCTACTCTCATGTACAAAAAATTTTAATCCTTCATTATTACATTGACCAGCTGTACTTGGGCCAGTTTGTCTATACTATACTGTCATTATAAAGTCTTAAAACCACAACATTTCTGCACTTTTTTGTTTGTAATTTTAATTGACAGCATTTACGGGCATGTTTTAGCACATTCTTGCCAATTTTTTTGTCCTCTTGACGATAATTGGATTGCATTTTGCACTTTTTTTTATTCCCCTCGTCACCCGCCACTAAATTTAAGACTTGCTTTATACACTTGCTATTCCTATTTTAACCAAAAGTCCCTGGAGTTGTATCCCTGGTAAATAGTTGCTTTTAATGACTGGTGCGGTTGTCAGGGGCAGAGACGCGGGGGGGAGGGCAGGAGCAGAGATGCCTGGTACCTGGAGGATGGTGTTGAGGATGTCCACGTAGTTGCTCTCCGTCTGGTACAGCTCCTTGGAGACCTGCCACCGCGCCGACTGCTTCGACACCAGCGGAGTGGAGCTCTTCGAAGGCTTTGAGCTCTCTATAGGAGCCAGACCGACAGGGGAAAAACAAGTGTTAGAGACAAGAGTAGACTCCTCCAACGCAGTCTTAACCCTCGATAAAATAATTTCTACTTCCTTTGGCGCAAATTAAAGCAGTCAATCTGATAGCTTTCTAATTGTGTTGAATTTAAATAGGGTGTATTAGACTTCTATATAGTAGCTTCAATAGCAGCTTAGCACCACAAGCACTGAATGAATGAATAAATGGTGAACGGAATTGTAAAGCGACTTTGAGCGTCTGAAAAAGAGCTATATAAGTATGTTATTAGGTTCTTTTTTCAGACCAAGAGTTTGTTTTCATACCTGACAGTTTCGACAGCTCACTAGCGGTTTTCCTCAGAGTGGTCACGTGATGTTGCTGTGACGTGTCTGGTCAGATGATTTGCAGTCCGACTTCCTCAGGACAGTATCCCAGGTGTGTGAAAGTAAAAAAGCCCCTTCATACCAGTTTATAGTCCCGTGGGCACGTTTCCGTATTTCGATTGCCTCTTTAATCCAGCGGTGATGTTTGTTTTCCTCTGTCCCAGTGATGTTTGCTCCATCCCAGCCCATAATGTGGTTTTCTCTTTTACAGTGGTCACAGATGGCCGATTTGAGTTGCTCCTGTTCTGCTTTGTGTTTTTGTTGTTTGTGTGCACGCCTTTGCTGTTTCATTCTCGCATTCTGTTCTGTGTTCCTTTTTTCATGTACTGAACACCCTCCCCGTTTTCCCGATGTATGTTTTGTTGCAAAACATGGAGGGTATTTCATATATGACATTACATTTATGCTCCGGTTCTATTTTGTCTTTCGGGTGGACGAGTAATTGTCCGAGTTTTTTACTCTCACACAGCTGGGATACTGTCCTGAGGAAGTTGGACTGCAGATGGCGCTGTCATCCTGCCTCCACTGGTAGGAACACAGCACCAAAACTTGTTGCTGTGACATGTCCGGTCACATGACCACTCTGAGGAAGACCGTTAGTGAGCAGTCGAAACTGTCAGGTATGAAAACAAACTATTGGTCTGAAAAAAGAACCTAATAACATAAAATATTGGAAGCCCAAATGAATCTCGTTGGACGAAGAGCTATATACGACTAATGCATTATTATTATTATGGGGTATAAATTACTAACATAAAATATTCAGAACACCATTTTACCTTTTGTTTTGAAAAACGAAGCTGAAAACAACCTATTAACATGTTTTATAAGTTTCGCCACTCTCCTGTCAGAGCGAGTGTGCATTTTGCTAATGAAACTATTGCACATCGAATCAGGTTTGTGAAGCTGTAGTGCAGTGTTTTGTGTCATGCTTTTGTATATTTATGGAAAACTGTTATGCGGGAGCTTGGATGGCGTGGGCATGTGGGCTGAACATTGGAATCGTACTCGTACAGGGCCCCGGAGGGATCGCAAGATTACGCAAACATCCATGGATGACATAACGGCATGTATCTGAATGGTTGAAAGCGCCAAAAAACCCAACAGATTTTGCATAACACTCGCATACGCCTCTTTAATAAAATAGAACTAGATCAGAATTAGAACTGGTTCCACTAGGTCAGTTTAAATGAATGCTGAGTTTTGCAAATTGGATTTGTCTAAAAGAATAATTGATGTTATGACTGGAAAAAAAAGAAAAAAAAAAAAAAGAAAGAAAGTCTAGTCCTCTGCTGCTGTCTTAGCTGCCTTGCAAAAAAGTCAATTTAGTCACTTTTTATTTTAGACATGTCAAGGTTGCATAGTCATCACAAATATATATATAAAATAAAATTCCTATAGTTTAAAATTAAGATGGAGGACAGGTCTGAATTCACTGATGTAATTTGCTGTATAACTGTCAGATTACAGATTTGTTGACCTGGTTTATGGTGAATATGCCTGTCCCAGTTTTCGTTTTATGTGAACAGACCCAGTAATTATAAAGTTCAAAGTCTTCTCTGATAACAAAATATGTGAAATATTAGTTTCATGGTGGCTTCAAAAAGGGATGCTATTTCTTAACTGCAAGGATCGTCTGTTAAAAGGACGATAATATGGGAAGTTTGTGGAGTAAATCTCAGATATTAAGGTTCAATATTTTTGGAACTTATGATTGGATATTTTTTTCATTAACGGTAAATCTCCCTTAGAGTTACTAGAGTGACAGTGGCCGTAACCTTTATCTGAAATGTGATGTCAACAAATTACAGAACGCCAACACAGTCTATTAAAATGTCTAATTAAATTCAGATTTCAAAACCAGCTAAACTGCCAACTAAAAATGAAAGTAGCAGTCAAATGTGTAGAAATAAACAGGCATGATAGTGCGCTAAAATGAACAAGTGATTTTATATTATTAATATTTAGCTAATATATTTTTTTCAAGTGTTGCTCACTCAGACCTAAACCTACCCTAATTCTTTGAAAAATGTCTACGAGTCTGACTAAAAGGAAGTGGATTTCTCTGAAACTACATTGATAACATTCTCTGAACCACATTAATAATATACTTTACAGAGATCGGGTTTGTCAGACTTCAGGGTTGTAAATGGGATGATAAGTTTATTTGGCTCTAGTTCTAATGCGAGAACAACAGAAATAAATTGCAAGAGTTATTCAAATTCCTAAGTTCCCAATAGTTCCAAAATAATGTACCAATGTTTACTATTTGGCTAATAATAAGGCATACTTGTAATGAAAATTGAGACATTCCAGCCTTTGCGTTTTGGCAATTCCGCCCACCAAAATTGTAATATTTATGTTGCTTAGTTTCTCAGCCTTTTTTTTTTTTTTTTTTTATTTACATGATTTTAGTTATAAACAAAGTCCACTCTCCATTTCTCTGGCGTTGGCCGTGGGGAGCGGCGGCGGGCTGGTGTGGGCCTGCTCATTGCCCCACAGCTCAGTCGCTGTGTGTTGGAGTTCACCCCGGTGAACGAGAGGGTCGCGTCCCTGCGCCTTCGGGTCGGGGACAGGTCTCTCACTGTGGTGTCGGCCTACGGGCCGAACAGCAGTGCTGAGTACCCGGCCTTCTTGGAGTCCTTGGGAGGGGTACTAGACAGTGCACCGACCGGGGACTCCGTTGTTCTCCTGGGGGACTTCAACGCCCACGTGGGCAACGACAGTGACACTTGGAGAGGGGTGATTGGGAGGAACGGCCTCCCCGATCTGAACCCGAGTGGTGTTTTGTTATTGGACTTCTGTGCTAGTCACAGTTTGTCCATAACAAAACACCATGTTCGAGCACAAGGGTGTCCATAAGTGCACGTGGCACCAGGACACCCTAGGCCGGAGGTCGATGATCGACTTTGTCGTCGTGTCATCTGATCTCCGGCCGCGTGTCTTGGACACTCGGGTGAAGAGAGGGGCTGAGCTGTCAACTGATCACCACCTGGTCGTGAGTTGGGTTCGCTGGCGGAGGAGGAAGCCGGAAAGACCTGGCAGGCCCAAGCGTGTAGTGAGGGTCTGTTGGGAACGTCTGGCGGAGCCCTCTGTCAGAGGGACCTTCAACTCGCACCTCCGGGAGAAGTCCTCCCGGAGGTGGGAGGCCGGAGATATGGAGTCCGAGTGGGCTTCATTCTCGGCCTCTATTGTCAATGCAGCTGCTCGGAGCTGTGGGCGTAAGGTCTGTGGTGCCTGTCGCGGCGGCAACCCCAGAACCCGGTGGTGGACACCGGAAGTAAGGGATGCTGTCAAGCTGAAGAAGGAGTCCTATCGGGCCTTGCTGGCTCGGGGGACTCCTGAGGCAGCTGACGGGTACCGGCGGGCCAAGCGTGCTGCAGCCCGTGTGGTCGCGGAGGCAAAAACTCGGAGCTGGGAGGAGTTCGGGGAGGCCATGGAGAAGGACTATCGGACGGCCTCAAAGAGATTCTGGCAAACCGTCCGGCGCCTCAGGAGGGGAAAGCAGTTCTTCACCAACACTGTTTACAGTGCGGGGGGAGAGCTGTTGACCTCGACTGGGGACGTTGTCCGGCGTGGAAGGAATACTTTGAGGATCTCCTCAATCCCACCGTCACGTCCTCCGAGGAGGAGGCCGAGGCTGGGGACTCGGAGGCGGACTCATCCATCACCCTGGCCGAAGTCACTGAGGTGGTTGGCAAGCTCCTTGGTGGCAAGGCTCCGGGGTTGGATGAGATCCGTCCTGAGTACCTGAAGTCTCTGGATGTTGTGGGGCTGTCTTGGCTGACACGCCTCTTCAACATCGCGTGGCGGTCGGGGACAGTACCTCTGGACTGGCAAACCGGGGTGGTGGTCCCTCTGTATAAGAAGGGGGACCGGAGGGTGTGTTCCAACTATAGGGGGACCACACTTCTCAGCCTTCCAGGTAAGGTCTATGCCAGGGTACTGGAGAGGAGAATCCGGCCGATAGTCGAACCTCGGATTCAGGAGGAGCAGTGTGGTTTTCGTCCTGGCCGTGGAACACTGGACCAGCTCTACACTCTCCATAGGGTGCTCGAGGGTTCATGGGAGTTTGCCCAACCAGTCCACATGTGCTTTTGTGGATCTGGAGAAGGCATTCGACCGTGTCCCTCGTGGTGTCCTGTGGGGGGGTGCTCTGGGAGTATGGGGTCCGGGGCCCTTTGCTAAGGGCTGTCCGGTCCCTGTATGACCGGAGCAGGAGCTGTGTTCGCATTGCCGGCAGTAAGTCAGACCTGTTCCCGGTGCATGTTGGACTCCGCCAGGGCTGCCCTTTGTCACCGGTTCTGTTCATTGTATTTATGGACAGAATTTCTAGGCGCAGTCAGGGGCCGGAGGGGGTCCGGTTTGGGGACCACAGGATTTCATCTCTGCTGTTTGCGGACGATGTTGTCCTGTTGGCTTCATCGAACCAGGACCTGCAATGTGCACTGGGGCGGTTTGCAGCCGAGTGTGAAGCGGCTGGGATGAAGATCAGCTCTTCCAAGTCCGAGGCCATGGTTCTCGACCGGAAAAAAGGTGGCTTGCCCTCTCCGGGTGGGTGGGGAGTCTTTGCCTCAAGTGGAGGAGTTCAAGTATCTCGGGGTCTTGTTCACGAGTGAGGGAAGGACGGAACGTGAGATTGACAGGCGGATCGGTGCAGCTTCGGCAGTGATGCGGTCGCTGTATCGGACCGTTGTGGTGAAGAGGGAGCTGAGTCGAAAGGCGAAGCTCTCGATTTACCGGTCAGTCTTCGTTCCTACTCTCACCTATGGTCATGAGCTCTGGGTAGTGACCGAAAGGACGAGATCGCGGATACAAGTGCTCGAAATGAGTTTCCTCCGCAGGGTGGCTGGGCGCTCCCTTAGAGATAGGGTGAGGAGCTCAGTCACACGGGAGGAGCTCGGAGTAGAGCCGCTGCTCCTCCACGTCGAGAGGAGCCAGTTGAGGTGGCTCGGGCATCTGTTCCGGATGCCTTCTGGGCGCCTCCCTCGGGAGGTGTTCCGGGCATGTCCCGCCGGGAGGAGGCCCCGGGGAAGACCCAGGACACGCTGGAGGGACTATGTCTCTCGGCTGGCCTGGGAACGCCTCGGGGTCCCCCCGGAGGAGCTGGAGGACGTGTCTGGGGTGAAGGAAGTCTGGGAGTCCCTGCTTAGGCTGCTCCCCCCGCGACCCGGCCCCGGATAAGCGGACGAAAATGGATGGATGGATGGACAAAGTCCAGTTTGCCTCTCTCTCCCTGACCTGCCGTAGCTGTGGGCTCCTCCTCCACCTTGTTGGCTGCTTGTTGGATGGTACGGAGGCAGGACCTGGCTCTCCTTTGCTCCTTTTCTGTCCTACTGCTCTCCCTGTGGTCGGTAGAGCGCCCCCTCACCTTTCTCCTGGTCACTGCACTTCCATCTCTTGTGCGGTCTGAGCTTACCCTGACCCTGCTCTCTGCAACCAACAGTTCAATCACTCAGTGTCTGTTAGAAGAGGTTCAGTGGGATTTTTTTTAGAGTTGCACAATACTAGAAATGCTCAAAAACTTGGAGAATAATTCTGATGTCTAATTGTACTATGTATAAATACAGGAAAATGCCTTCTACTCCATAAAGTATATCTTAAAAGGACCTGAGTGAATGACTTTGCCTAACCATGGTTTTCAGAATGATGAAAAATTAGGACTGTTGCCAAAGCAATTACTCCGGATGGTAAGATCTCGCGAGACACAATTGCCACAAGATTGTGCACACAAGAGAAAAATTATCTTGTGAGATTTTTTTTTTATGTGCTTACATTTGTAACACTGCAAATTGGACAAAAACGGTTAGGTGTTCGTAAATTACATCTCTTACAGTTCCAAAAAGCGGTCTGTACTTGAATGGAAACAAAACGATGAAAGTAAAAAATTTTAAAATTTGTGAAGCCAAAATTGGAAACCAAACCGTGAAATTTATATATTAAGAATTATGTTAAAATCTCGTCTTTTCATTCTTGTAGGCTAAATCTCATATCTCCTCTCGTCTTGCGGAAATTGTGTCTCATCCCATCCACAATTCACAATGAAATATTTCTTTTCAATGAGGAAAAAGTCTTACAAATTTTGCTTCAGAAAGCTCAAAACAATGAATACATTTTAAAGGCATTTTGTTAGATATGAACCATAAAGAAGCAACTAACCATTTTGAGTCTTTGCTGTGAAAGTTTGAGCCACAGAAACCCGGAGGAATGCACTGGAGGGGACGATTTTCTTCTCGATAAACTTTAAATTTGATTTTTCAACCAAATTGATTTTTGTCCAGGAACAGAATAAAATGTATTATTCATGAAAATCTGAAATTGTTTCTTTGTCATGGTTCAACATCAGAGTGAGAGAAGGAACTAGGTAGTTTTAGAGGCTTAAGTAGAGTTTCTACACCAATATTTTTTCTCCTTTCAGAAAAAATACCACTATCGCTGCTTTCTTCCAGGGAGGATTTTGACACCATTAAATCGTTTGGACTGTCCTTCATGAATCGTGAATTTAAAAAACTGCACAATATTGTAAACAGGTATTTTTTATATTGTTGTGCAGCCCTAATTTGAACCTGTGCGCCGTTACCTGCCAGACTCTTGCAGGTATCCGGGGTGTTGGAGATGTCGAGCAGGGAGCCCATGGACAGCGAGTGCTCTGCAGACGCCCTCTTTCGCGGAGGGGGGAAGGGGGAGATCTCGGTCTCTTTGGTCAGCTGGGCCAGAGTGTCTTTGAGCCGCCTTCGCTTCCTGTTACTGGTGGGTGTGGTGAGGGAGAGGAGGGACACGGCTTTCTTCATGGCAGGGCTGTCGTTCTGAGGGAAAAGTCAGAAAACAATGGTAATACTTTAGGCACGTTCCCCGAAAACATATCAACTCATATTCAATACTTTTGAATAAGAAAAAATTTTTGCTTGTAAACATACAGGCTACAATATAGAAGTAACTTTATTTAATCTTAAATCAGTCCTTTTTTTGATTAGTAAAAGTGATAAGTGACACATTTACTCCAAAAAAATAAGGATTGTCTGTGTACCCACCATCTCACCATAACAATACGAGTATCATTCGCTCATTCGTTTTTCAATATAAAACCACAAATAAGAAAACGAAAAAAAAACCAACTATTTTCTTCATTATTTGTCTCCAAAACCAAAATGAAAAAATGGATAACAATTTGTATTTTCAGTTTTCGATTTTGTGTTTAAATGCATAATGAAAAAAACAGATAACGGCTGTTTCCCGTTTTCATGACTTAAACTGTGATGCCGGACTGAACCAGGACTAAACCAGGACTAAACCAGGACTAAACCAGGACTAAACCAGGACTAAACCAGGACTACACCAGGACTAAACCAGGACTAAACCAGGACTAAACCAGGTCCGGGACCAGACCGGGACCGAGACCAGGACCGGGACCGGGACCAACACCAGACCATGAGCGAGACAGGGACCAGACCGGGACTGAGACCGGGACTGAGACCGGGACTGAGACCGGGACTGAGACCAAGACCGAGACAAAGACCGAGACCAAGACCGAGACCAAGACCGAGACCAAGACTGAGACTGGGACCAGACTAGGATTAAAAACGGTTCAGTCGTGGTTCAGTCGTGGTTCAGTCGTGGTTCAGTCGTGGTTCAGTCGTGGTTCAGTCGTGGTTCAGTCGTGGTTCAGTCGTGGTTCAGTCGTGGTTCAGTCCGGCATTGCAGTTTAAGTCATGGAAACAAGAAACAGCCATTATCTGTTTTTTCCATTATTCATTTAAACACAAAATCGAAAATTGAAAATACAAATTGTTATCCATTTTTTCATTTTGGTTTTGGAGACAAATAATGAAGAAAATAGTTGTTTTTTTTGTTTTCTTATATTTGGTTTTATATTGAAAAACAAATGAACAAATGATACATAGATTCATAACCCTGTAGGAAATACTGAATCTGAAATTTCACATACAGTATAGATTTATGGATGAAAGTTTAGTTCACTTCTGTTTTATATCGATGTACCATGCACTATTAATAAGGGTGGGACGAGACAGAATTCCCACAAGATGAGGCAAGACATGAGAAGGTCCACAAGATCGAGACAAGGAGAAATTTTGATGTGAATGATAAAAAATTAATTGTGCCATTCAGTTTTGGCCTTTATATTTTTGAAATATATTTTATTGAGTACTTTTGCTGTCATTGTAGAACTGTTTTTTTAGAACTACAACTTCTCGGAATGTAGCTCACCAGCGTTTAACCCTTTGTTGTCTAATCCAAATGTAAACATATGGGGAAAAAAATCTCACAAGATCATTTTTCTTAAGTGTACACAATCTTGTCCCATCCCTAACTATTAAAGGGACAGTTCGGAATTTTGGACATAGGACCTCATTTCCTAGTGAGCCAGAGTGTTAGAGATGTGTGGAGACACTTTTTAAAATATTCCATCCAGTCCTGGTATTTGCAGAGGTCACTGGTGCTAGGCTAGTGCATGTCAATGGCCATAGTTATCCTGCTGCTAAAAAGTCTTACCCACTCCACAAAACACCTGAAGCAGAACTATTATTACACCAGACTGTTGATGTAAATGTGTGTTGATAGAATAAGTTTAGAAGTAAAACCAACCTTGCATTTGCAGGATTTATGTCTGAGCAGCAGCAGTGAGTTGTATTTCCAGATAGAAAGTTTGGCAGCGGCGGACTGATATATGAGAAAATAGTCCCTCAACATGCGATGATTCATGCGATTCAAGGTTAATTTTATTTCAAACATTATTCGATCAACACAAACATTTACATTGACAGTCTGGTGTAAAAAAAGTGTCTCCACACGTCTCGAACACTCTGGCTCACTAGGAAATGAGGTCCTATGTCCAAAGTTCCAAACTGTCCCTTTAACAAATAGCACTATCAGCCATTTGAATGTTACACCTACATTTAGTTAGCCTGGTTGACTGTCTATAGGAGTGGACAATTTTGGGGGAGGGGGAAATAATAAATTGAGTAGGCTCTGTACACCACAACATGCTTATTTTGTCTCAAAGTTAAAGCCAACTTTTATTAAAAAAATATATAAATATATAAAATAAATCTATTAAAATTGAAGGCAAACTGTTTGTGTTTATGTGTATAATTATTATGTATTTTATTTATTATGCCTAGGGTGACCAGATTTTCAAAATAAAAAAGTGGGGCACCCCCGGTTTAGGGTGGTTGGTAAAAATAAAAATGTGAATTAAGTGCGTAATTAAGGGAAATTGTTCTGCACTCTGCCCATTCATGACTAATGTGTCAGTATAGTCAAATTTTATTTGTGTTTTGGTAATTTTAAAGCAGCTTTTCTGTATTTTACCTAAACAAATGACAATGCATACGTCTCTTCACTATTGGCAGGGATCAGATTGGTCAAAAATAGAGACACCTGGAACATTTCTTATTTAAAACTGGGACAACTCACTGGCTTTGGATAAATCAACTGGAACAGGGGAAACAGGGCTCAAAATTGTGACTGTCCTGGGTAAATAGGGACATCTGGTCACCTGAATTATGCCTCAAAATGAGCATTACGTCATTTTTAAATAAATAAAAGTCCTCCAAAGAAGTTTTCACCTTATTTGTTGAGTGTTTAATGTTGTCAGTGATATCCACCCAGGACCTACTGTCCACCGCCTGATCTTAAAATATTTATTGGTTTTAGCATGACTCTGCAAAAACTCCACAGAGATACAATTAGACATGAAGTAGTGTCTAACAGTGAGGATGCTGAGCGCTGTGGTGCACATAGCCAACTGTGATTAGATTTGTTTAAAAAAAAGAGGAGGATTCTGTTCAGAGTGCACATAGTAAACAACTCCAGGAGCATTAACGTCTGAGAGGAGACTGAAAAATGAACAGCTAAACTAATACAAGCATCTCACATGTAACAGATAATACTCCCTACAAATGTACAATAAATCACCCTCATGCAACAGATAATATTCCCCTAAAACAGTACAACTCACCCATATGTAACAGATAATGCTCCCTACAACTGTACAACTCCTTTATGTAAAAGTAATACTCCCTACAATTGTGCAACATCTCAACCTTATGCAACACATAATACTCCCTACAACTGTACAACGTACTCTTAAATAAAAGATAATACTCCCTACAAATGTACGACAACTCACCCTTATGTAACAGATAATACTCCCTACAACTGTACAACTCACCCTTATGTAACAGATAATACTCCCTACAACAAAACAATTCTCCGTTATGTAACACATAATACTCCCTACAACTGTACAACGTACTCTTAAATAAAAGATAATACTCCCTACAAATGTACGACAACTCACCCTTATGTAACAGATAATACTCCCTACAACTGTACAACTCACCCTTATGTAACAGATAATACTCCCTACAACAAAACAATTCTCTGTTATGTAACACATAATACTCCCTACAACTGTACAACGTACTCTTAAATAAAATATAATACTCCCTACAACTGCACAACAGCTCACCCTTATGTAACAGATAATAATACTCCCTACAACTGTACAACTCCTTTATGTAAAAGTAATACTCCCTACAATTGTGCAACAACTCAACCTTATCCAACACATAATACTCCCTACAACTGTACAACAGCTCACCCTTATGTAACAGATAATAATACTCCCTACAACTGTACAACTCACCCTATGTAACAGATAATACTCCCTACAACTAAACAATTCTCCGTTATCTAACAGATAATACTCCCTACAAATGTAGAGTTTTGGGGAGTATTATCCGTTTCATAAGGCTGCTGTACAACTCAGCCTTATGAAACAGATAATACTCCCTACAACTCTGCCTTATGTAACAAATAATACTCCCTACAACTGTTACACACAACCTTATGTAACAGATAATATTCCCTAAAACTGTACAACAACTCAACCTCTTGTATAACAGTGACATAGGCCCATATTTTATATTTACTTGTACATTTACATTTATATAATTATGTCTTATTTGACATCAGTCTCTTGCTTTTTCTGCTACTTATTTAGAATTTATTATCACCATTACACTTTTTTTTTCTCTTTGTTATTATATTTATTGTGATGTGTGAGCTGCTGCGTCCAAATAATTTCCCTTGTGGATCAATAAAGTTTGTTTTAGTCCAAGTCTAAGTTGTAGAGGTCTGAACTTTCACTATAAATAGTCCAGGATTTTTTTGTTCTTTGCGAAGGACATTGCACTAAATAACTGCAGCTTTTGCGATTTGCACCGAGTCAAATCGCAATTTCGTATTCAATTGTGATAAATCTAACCCACACCCGAACCCACACTCACCTTCTCATAGAGATACATAGACTCTCCGGCTCGGGCATCCATCTGTATACTGCCCCAGAACCACTGCCACAGAAACAGAGAAAAAAATAACAGATTTTGGATTTATTTACACACAAACTGGATTAGGACGAAATGAGAGGAAAAAGCTTCCCGGTAGAATAACTGCGTCGTCCCTCTTTGAAAATCAACTAAACTTGGCAGAATAAAGAAAGGAGGCTTATTGATTGCGGGGTTATGAGCACAGCTAAACCACTCCGACAGCTAGGTTCAAATTATTCATCCGGTGGAGGAGGAAATTTTACATCGACCGCGCGCTGACAAGAGCTAGTGCACGGGAGAAAGCATTGATCCAGAAATCCAGGGCCATTTCGGGTTGCACAAAACATTCATTATTTGAAGTAGGATTCTGATGACCGCAGGCTCTGTGCATGTAAAAAGAATTTATTAAAGGTGCACCGTGTAACTCTCTAGTGGAGGGTCTGTCACTGTCTTGTCTCCATGGAGATGTCGTCGTTTAGTCTTGAATGTTCCACAGTGTGACATTTAACACATTTATCAAGCCACCAGTGTAATTACAGGTCAGGTCTGTGGAGGAGCAACCCGTACTATACTAAAATCTCTATCATTCGTTCATTCGTTTTTCAATATAAAACCAAAAATAAGAAAACAAGAAAACAAAAAAACAACTATTTTCTTCATTGTTTGGCTCCGAAAGCTAATGGAAAAAGCAAATCATGATTTTTTTTTTTTTTTTTTCAGTTTTTGATTTTGTGTTTAAATGAATAATGGAAAAAAACGAATAACAGCCGTTTCCAGTTTCCGTGACTTAAACTGAGATGCTGGACTTTTGCGCTGCATAGGGACTGAACCAGGACCGATCCCAGGACCGATCCCAGGACTGATCGAGGTCTAAAAGAGGTCTAAACCAGGACAGAACCAGGATTGCGTGTTGGGACGGGCCCGAAGGTGCGCACACAGATTGTCGGGTGATCAAGACTCAGACTGGGATTGAGACCGGGACTGACAATGTTTTGAGACTGTTTTAGTCTGTATGCGGCGCAAGAATCCGGCATTGCAGTTTAAGTCACGGAAAGGGGAAAACTAAACTAAATATGTAAAATATACAAATGGGGGGCTAAGGAGAGGTTCACATTCACCCAATTTGAAAACCCCTGCTTTGGAACATTCCAGTTAAAGCTGTGAAAGCACTAATATTTGAAAACAAGCACCTGACAGACCCTCCACCAGAAAAATTACAAAGAAAATCCTTAATGATGCACTGTCATTTCTAACAAGATTTTTTTTTTCTGTTTGACATTTGAATAGTAAGTGGTCACATGACTGGAGGTCATGTGGTGAAGTCATGAGGTCAAGGTGAAGTACCTTTTTCCTGTACAATAAGGCAAGTGCAGTGCTGACCTGAAATCACCCTCACATTATGTTTCAAGATTACATTTGAGTCCTTGTCATATAGAAAAATTAGTCTGACAAGTAAATTGGATTTCCAGGAATAATACATTGGTGCTTTATCAGACATACATTCAAGCTCCAAACAGACAGACCTTGATCAAACTTAACATTATGTGTTCAAGTGTAGTGAGAGGGTGTTGAACAGAACTCCTTGAAACATCACCAAGTAAACACATTGAAGGGGTCCGGATGAATAAACTTTCTTTTCTCAGAAAAATCATTTTATTAACATTTCAGGTCATATTTTTAATCATACTTAAAGACCCTGAACCTGACTTTCTTCCATGTATTTGAGAAAAATTTCCCAGTACAGAAAGCTCTTGAGGTCAAAATATGCCAGCAGTGTACGGTCTGCATCTGAAGTGTTTCCTTGTCCAATAATCAGGAAGTGTGTATTAGAGTGCTAGTTGTTGTGTGCATTATTGTGATGAGAAAACTCTACACTGGTCTCAAAGCGGTGAATAATCATGTTCGAAATGCATAAGGCAAGTAAGAAATAACTTTGGGCCACCACTACAAAACTAGTTCTGTCACATTTTCAAGAATTGCCGTTAAGCAGCTTCCCAACCCTATCGTTTTGTACTAGTTTTCTATCAGAAAAATCTTCATTTACAGAACACTGATGGCCAAAGTGTTAAATTTTATATTTTATAGTGTCAAAAAAAACAACTCTTCAATATTAATAAAATCAATATAAAAAACTAGTTGCCAACCTAGTCCACTGATAGGTGCAAGCAATACTACGAACTTTCAGAAATAGTATGACCAAACGGTAAAAAAAAAAGTAAAACTCATGCTTGGGGTGCTCTACATGCATCTCTAATGGTGGAACAAACTACTGGCAAATGCTAGTAAGCTTGTGACTAATTTTGTGTGACAGACTTGTTTAACATTGCATCAGCTGCAAAGTATTCATTGTACAATAATTATAATAAAGCTTTCTGAAACCTATGAGGAACAGTTACTTGGACCCCCAACCACCTTTATGTTTTGTATGTTCGTCACCTGCTTGTTTCTACGGACATGCCACTGCTCTGTCTGGAATGTTCTACAGTATGACATTAAACAGCTGTACATTACGTTTACAGTATTTTTCGAACTATAAGTCACACTTTTTTCATGGTTTGGGTGGTCCTTATACTCCGGTGCGACTTATATATTAAAATGTTCACACTCACAGCCGCGAGAAGGCGCTCTAGGCCTGTGTGTCAGTATCTGCTGCTCCTGTTACTCCTGTACCACTGTCACTTGGCTCTACTGCACATGTCTCCTGCATGTGTCCTGCTGCACGTAGTGAAATATGCAGCCAAAAAAAGTAATGGAGCAGCAGAAAGAAAGTTTAGAGGGAGCGAGAAACTTCAGACAACCAGGAGGGTGCGGCATGCAACTTAACTGGAAGTCACTGGATGGATCGACAAAGCCTGGACTTCAGTGACACTGAAACCATCCTGTCGGGATTCAGAAAGGCCAGAATAATTCTCACTGGAGCTGATGCTGAGTCTGACAACAGTGTTGCAGAAGAGGAAGCGGTGCTCTGTTTACCTCCGGAGGTTAGTGAATTGCTCAGAAGTGACAGAGGATTAAGAATTCAATGGATTTAGTGATTTGGAGTGAGATGGAGAGTTTGTTCAACTTGTTCTGTTCTGTTGTTTGTGTTATAGTTATCTGAAGAACTGTTCATATGTGACGTTAACAGTCTGTTGTTCTATTGTTATTACTAGAACTTCCCTTTCAAGATGAAATGTTGGTTCCTGGTTTCTGATTTTCTAAAATAAATTTCCTCCAAAAAGGGTTTTTTTCTTCTTCATTACGCATTTTTTGGCTGGTGTGACAAAAAAATACGGTACTCAATTACAGGTGGTTTTATTGCTCAAAAACACCTCCAAAAACAGGCATTCTGACTGAGCGGGGTCGCCTCTCCACAGATCTAACCTGTGACTTGGTCTGGTTTGGTCTCCATGAAGATAAAAAGGTTTAATGCCATACTGTGATAAATTCCAGACAAAGCAATAACAGTTGCATGGAGAAAAGCATTTGACAGACCTCCCATCCAGAAAAGTTCCACAATGCACTTTTAACACTAGTTCTAAAAAATGCACATCGGAGCCGCTAACCCACCTCTTGCTTGACGACATAGACCTTCTTGTTGGGAGGAAAGGGCAGTTCCTTCACAGAGTTCTCCTCCACCACCATGTGCGTACAGCGCTCGTTCCCCACCTCCAGATAAGTGCCACCTAAGGGACACACGGACACATTGCACAGATATAGATATTTACAGAATAACCTTTATGCAGCCCAACGGGAGGTGGTTATCTCTGCTTGACATGTACGGGTTTAATTTGGCTCCCAGGGTAGGCCTTTCTGTACTATTCATAATAAGGCTTAATCCCACGGTGATGGAGACGAGGACCCGGGGTAATCTAGAGAGGATAACGCGCACTCTTGTGTCTACATTGGTTTATTTTTCACTTTGACGAGTTTAAGGTCAGAACAGGTAAGTTCAAAGTAAAATCAACTGGGTAATATGTAATGTGATTTGGCATCATACAGTGTCAAACAAATGACTGTTTCGTTTGATGACAAGTCAACAAATTCAATCAATGTCTTATTTTACTATGTATCAAGCTCTAGAGTATATAATAAGTTACCACTGTGATTTATTTGTTATTTTATTGATTTAAGATAAGAACTAAAAAAAAAAAAAAAAAAAAAAAAAGGAACAATCTGTGTGATGGTTTTAAAAAATATCTAACACTGTATTGTTTGAAAGATATAGAGCTCTGGAGGGAATTATGCATTAACTTTTGTTTGTTTTAATTAATATTTTGTCTCTTATAAGTCAGTATGTAAGTCGTAAGCAAGTTGTGAGTGAAACCGTAAAGACAAACTTGCTGTTTTTGCTGCTTTTTTTTCTTGGAATTCTGTCATTGTTTGACAAGGGTTTGGCGTTATAAGTTCTTTTTACTTCTGCCTAAACCCTTTCGGTCATGATCTATGGGGTTGTAGTTTATGTTTTGTTTTGAAGTGCTGCAAAACGACCAAATAAAACTACTAAATATTAATATTATTAACATTAAGTAACATTAAGTGCATCCAGTGTGCATGTGTGTTTCTGCTTGTAGAGTACATTTGAATTTCTGTGAGATACTTCCCACCTTCTCACTAAGAAAATTACCATTAATCGTTAATAATCGTTTCTGTAATCAAACAGCCTCACAGCATTTTATAAAAATAGATTTGAATTATGATTCTATAAAATAATTGGGAAGCTTCTTGGCTCACATACGTGTTTTTTTTCTCAGTAGCTATTTACATGCACACTAAAGTCTGATCCAATTTCTGGACTTTAAGATTATTTAAAGGGGTCATTATTTAGGATTATTTTAAGATAATTTAAAGGGCCCATATTATGCAAATTTCTGATCCATTTAATATTCTAATCCATATTCTTTACTCTTTGTTATTATAATATATTGTGATGTGTGAGCTACTGTGTCCAAATAATTCACCAATTACCAATAAAGTTTTTGTAAGTCTAAGTCTAAATCTATTTTATATCGATGTTTCCTCTTCAAAAACACACCTGGAATTGAGTTTTGTTCCATTCACACATGTTTAACACGCAAACTCTGTACATTTGGACTGAGTTTTAATGTTTTTGATGGGGTAACAACATTCTAACATGGCTTAGATTAAATTAGATGTAACTGCAGCCAGTGTTGCAATATGCCAGGTGTGTTTTGACAATTAACTTCCTTTTACATGTTCATTTTTGCGGACTGCTACGTAACCTTGAAAAATGTTTTGCACTGAATCTTGGGCTAAAATACAGACCGTGTTTCAGTGTGCGCTCCTCCATGTTGGCCTTTTCTTCATCTGAAAACCCAAGAAAACTCAGAATACAGTCCTGAAACGGAGGGACTTTGTATTCTGTTCGGAATTCCTCGTCTCCAGCGTGGAAGGACCTGGACAACCAAAGAGGAGACAAATGATTTATAGTTATTTAAAAAATCGTCAATCAAAAGTAGTCATCTGGTTGGTGAGTCTTTGGTTTAGAAATTCAGATTGCAGATGACTAATTATTAAGAATGATTTTACTTACACGTCATCTCTTCTCTCCCAGGCCTTGAGGATCCAGTTTGGAGTCAGGATAGGCGTCCCCATGCAAACCGCCAGCTGTAAGCAACAATATAGTGTACAGAAAGTATGTTAAATAAAGTAAAAGATCAAGATATTTAGCTCAGCCAACCAGACTGTTTCCTATTTTATACAAAGATTCTGATTTTGGAGAAGAAATTTGGCTATTTTGTGTTGATGATTTGAAAGTCTGTTTTGTTTATATTCCGAAAATTAATACTGAAAACCAGGGGTGGGACAAGATACAGTTTCCACAAGATGAAATGAGACACGAGACTGGATGTACAAGAACGAGAAAAGATGAGACTTTGAAATTATTTACTGGGGGTGTAAGGGTACACAAAAATCACGGTTCGGTATGTACCTCGGTTTTGAGGTCACGGTTCGGTTAATTTTCAGTACTTTATGGGAACAAAATGGAAAACCATTTGCTTGTTGTTTGTGTTTTTATTAAACCAACAATTTATTTTGACATTATACGAACGGGAAAATAAAATAAATGCAAAGTGCTGCATCAGTGAGGGGCGGAGATTCTATGCTGACGAAATGCGAAAGTGAGGAACGTGGTGCGACGACCGTAGTTTTGCGACGATTCAGAGGGATGTAGTCAAGATGGGGGGAAATTGTTGTCAAAGTGGCCGCCTTAACTATAAAGCGATGCAGGAAACACTGGCACCCTAATCACAGACGAGTTCCCTCCTGAATATTACACCCCTATTAGTTACTGTACATAAACTGTGCAATCAAGCTCCTAATTTTATTCTCGCCGTATTTTATATTTTTGCTGTAGCACTGCTATTTGTGACTGTGGCTTCTCAAAAATGTATCTCGTCCCCAGTACTTAACGTTTTATCCAATCCGAACGTGAAAACAATGGGAAAAAAATTCTGACAATTTTGAAAAAAGATTAATATGAGGAAAAATGTCCCTAATACTTTTCTAATGATATCGCCAAGCCCCAATTCTAAAACTGTTACTAGTAGTTAAACTAAATTGATCTTTTATAGTGTTCAAAAACCAGCACCAAAGGACCAGAAGGATTTTCCCAGTGAAAAGCGATTTGTTTATCTCTCGCAGAGTGGGGAAATTACATAATGGCAGTCTGCCCAAGTCTCTTAATCCAAAAAGCCCCAGATGCATCAAATTACAAGTCAATAGAAATCCACTAGACCAAAATAGATCAATTAACGAGATGTAATAACGATTTTTAACTGTCAAACATTTTGTTCGCACAGTGCAAGGTTGGAGTTATATTTTGGCCAAGGGTTGCCACATTAATCACAACTGAATCGAAATCACAATCTGAAGGATGCAATTAGAAAAATGCAAAGGTTACAGTTTTTGAAGTACTGTAATTTCCTCCATAAACAACAAAATCTCCAGTTTTATTCTGCATAAAAACTGCTAACCCTGTTTAAATCTGTGTAAACATGTTCTGATGTAATGTAATTCTTACACCTGATCTTTTTTCCCATATATTTGAGCTGTCCCAGTACAGATATATAGTGTAAGCAACTTGTGAAGTCAAAAATTATCCGTTGCGAGCTGTTGGCATCTAATAAGAAAGCATTTCATTGTCTAATAATAATCAGGAAGAGTGCATTAGCTTGCTAGTTGTTGCCAGCTTCACCATCATGTCAAAGCTCCACCTCATACTGTTGTGAAAAGCACTTATAAACTCATCAATGTGAATAATTAGGGTGCTTAGAATGCATAAGGTAAGTGGGAATAACTTTTGACCACTGCAAACTAGGGATGGGCATTCGATAAAATTTTCTTAATCGATCGTCGGGAGAATTAACGATCCATTTTTGATTGATAATTTTTAGATTATAATTAGCCCATTTGAGATTATAAAATGCTTAATGCAGCTTTGCACACATTTGTTCTCATTTTACAGAAACAAAACTTAGAACCGCATGGCTACTTTGCATAAACTGTAAGTGCTGAAAAAACAAATGGCTCTTTCCTTGTATCCGACAGAAGCTGAACCACATCAGGGCACAACTCAGTGGAATATGAGTGTTCTTTCTGTGGGATGTTAATGATGCTGATGGTGAGTCTGTTCAGAAATCATAGGTGTGCAGGTTTAGCGCTTTAGCTCTTAATTTAATATTTCACTCACTTTATTTACCATATTTTCCGCACTATAGGGCGCTCTGGATTATAAGGCGCACTGTCATAGAATGGTCTATTTTCAAAGTGTTTTTCACAAATAAACCGCACCGGACATTCAACGAAACACAACAGTTCGATGGCTCAGTCGGACTTTGTTCACGGTGATTCTCGGCTTTGTTCAGTTGTGGCGTGTAGGGAGGGTGCTGTCTGGGACCGCTGGATTGTTGGCGTGTTTGCAGTGACTCGCAGTGAGTTGTTCAGTTGTGTCTAGAAGTGGAGCGTCCGGAAAATACGGTAATTTGGCTACTGTTGTGATGAAAAGACTGAAAAGTGTTTGCCTTTTGGACACTGTTGCAGTAACCGGGATACTGCCTTTTTATGCACCATGATGAAACTGGGGTACTCAAAAAAACCTGATCACACCCGGGATACTGATGTACATGTAAACACTCTCATTGAGTGATATGGTGATCTCCACGGAGGTGCCTGAGCCGAAATGAGGGACTGTGAAGCAGCAACTCCAGTGTTTGTCAGATGCAGCCTCTTCTTACGATACGCTACGCACAGTAACCTACTTTCCGTTTGTCGATTAAAAATGAACATGATCTACGAAATTCTTAATGATCAATTATCGATTAGTCGACTAATCATGCCCATCCCTACTACAAACCATTCAAACTAGTTCCGTTTTGACATTCACAACAGTAAAAATCCAGTACAGCTCCTTTAATTTGTCAGTTCATATTTCAATCTTTTTGTCAGTTCTTCTGGACGCGTTTAAAAATGTAAACATTGAACAAAAATACCTCAATTAAAACAAACTCCAAATCCGATCGCAATGCTCATCAGATAAATCACAATTTGATATTTTCCCCCCAAATAATCCATCCTTATTTTGTGCTCTACCACTGCCACAAAGGTACAAACAGTTTCCCACTCCAGGCGCAATTCAAAACCAAGCGTGAGGGACTCGACTGGAGAATAGCTTCTTTCTTTTTTTTCTTTTTGTTTTTTTTTCGTTAGCGTGCTGCTTTCAAATGGAAAACAGAGCGCTCCGCCTCTGACAAAGTTTCCTCACTTGTACTTCCTCGGCAGAACAAAACCGCGACAGGAGAAAAGGCTTTGAGCGGTAAAAAGGCCAGGTGGAGGGGAGGGAACGCCGATGACAAGTCTGATGGGGAATGAGGGAGATGACGCAACGCTGTGAACTGAGGCAGGGCTTGGCATTTGGTTCGGCGATGGCAGGCTAAGAAGATCTATGGGAGGATTGTTTTGTATTGTTCAGGGTCCTCACTATAAACAAAAGCGTCAAATGGATTAAAAACGTCAAATCTAATTATGCGCATATAGAAAAATGGCAGAAGGGAAAGTGAAATTATAAAGTATGTGCAAAAAGTGTTTGTATTATTCATAGTTGTTGTCATTTCAGTGAAAATGAATGTTGGAAGATTAAATGGCATGTTTGCTGAACCCAATCAAGATGTATTTATGTTTTCTGTACAAGTATATTTTCCAGAATCTGATATACTCAAATTAAATTAGATAGAAGGACATCATATTAATTATTAAACTGTATCGTTATTTGCAAAGTTCCAAGAACAAGTCGGTGTTTTTTTAAATGAAAATTTGATGAAGGGCAGTTTTAAAAATGTTATTTCTTTGAAGTGCAAAGTGGCTGTAAAAACTAATTCTAAACATCAACATCAAATGTAGAGATGCAACTAAGAATTATTTTTCTAATCATTTAATCGAGTGATTATTAGGGGTGTAACAATATCCAAGTCTCACAATACGATATCGTCACAGTATGAACCTCGTGGTGCGATATTTATTGCGATATTGTGGAGAGGCTCACGATCAGGGATGTAACAATATCCAAATCTCTCGGTATGATATTTTCACGATATACATTTCATGGTACGATATTTATTGCAATATTTTGTGGAGGTCGCAAACAAAATATGTTAATATGCTATTTTTTCCTCTTAAAATGCCTTGACATGACTCTTTTTTGAGCTAATTCTGCACCATAACTCTCAATTTAATCAAAGAAACTTGTCATTCGATATAGTGTGATGGTCCACGATATTATTCTGAGAACTCTCAACATACAATATTTCGGTTATTGTTACATCCCTAGCGATTATCGTCTTCACTTAGTTAAAACTGTGAAAAGCCAGTGAGTACAACATTTGTCCTAACTGTACCCAGATAAAGCTGAAGGGAAGTCACTTGAGGACATCCTGGTGTTCTCAAGCGACTACACTACATTGTTGTTTGTTTGTAATTCCTGATCTGACCTTCCCTCTTGTCTCATGACGTTTTGTGTATAAACCATTTAACAATTATTCAATTACTTAAATGGTTGACAACTATTTCAATAATTGATTAGTTGTGATTAATCAGTTAACTTGCAACCTTAATCAAACGCATTAGTGGTTAATTGTTCTGCACTTCTAAATAATGTACTAATGTTCACTCAGTAAGAGCAAGTTCACAGTTTAGCAGCTTTATCTGCATGCATCACTTTACCTTTTTGACTTTAAATTTTATATATTAAAGGTATGGGGAGGAAGCAATTTGGTTCTGTCTGCACTGTTTTATACCACGCACTGCCAGAATACAAAGCAGCAATATGTAACTCTTCTGATGTGGGGCGGGCCGTCCTTTTGCCCGTTTCCATTCTTTTATTCCCAAACTACAGAACTAAGTTGAATAGTCTGCCATCAAAACTGTTTAACTTGCATGAATTCAATTAAAGGATTTTTGCCGTTTTTTTAAATGTATAATGTGTATTCCTTTGTGAGTAAACTCCCTTTTTTACAGATTCGACTTGTAACTTGGCCTAATGGTGACACTTGCTTGACTCTATGGAGCAATCAAGACAATGGAAAAACCTCTCCATGGAAAGAGGCAGATTGTGAACCTCTATCAGAAAAGTTACTCAGTGCATCTTTAAATTATTAGATTGCTGGTTTCTTACATTATTTTAGCATATCGATCAAACTATAAACAAAAAAAATAGTAAAAACCATCATCCTCACCCTGTACTTCTCCCCATGTGTGGAGTAAGCGATCAGATGGGTGACTTTGGTGCTGAAATCCTTCCGGATGGTCCCTCCCATATGATGCACCAGATTCACCAAGTTCTTCTGCAAGAAACATTACAGAAACTGTTCTTTTTTTTTTTTTGATCGAATCTAACAACATTCTGCATTATCAAAGTCTTTTGTCATCCAATTTTAAAGGCAGTGTGGGGATAACTTATTTTCTAAAGAACATCATTTTCCCATTACGGTGGCTTTGGGTCTGGGCTCTTTTCCAATGTTATTAGAGGCCCGATGCTTGAGTGCACTGACCATTTCCTCCTTGTTCCTGAAGCCGGTGAAACACAGAGACAGGTTGAGCATCGTGGTGGAGTAGAGCGGGCGGCACGAGAAAGGCAGAGGCTGAGGAAGGACAAGAAAAAGACTTAAAATGGACGTTGTGTTATTCATCTACAAAACATCAAGGATAAGTAGCTTTTTGAGCACATTCTGGTGTTAAATCTTGATTACTTTTGTGTATACCGTATTTCCGCACTATAGGGTGCTCTGGATTATAAGGCGCACTGTCATTGAATGGTCTATTTTCAAACTTTTTTCACAAATAAACCGTACCGGACTTTAAACGAAACACAACAGTTAGATGGCTCAGTCGGACTTTGTTCAATTGTGGCGTGTAGGGAGGGTGCTGTCTGGGACCGCTGGATTGTTGGCATGTTCGCAGTGACTCAGTTGTTTAGTTGTGGCTACAACTGGCACATTGCACTCACTTTTTCAGTTCGCTCCTCCGTTCCATTCCTCGTTCCGCGTGGAGTGATGAGTGTGACTGCGGCTGTGTTTTTCATTGCATGGTCACTGTTTGCTCCATGTGTGTTTGCATGTGCTGCGGGTGGTGTGGCTTTGTAGCTTACTGAAGTCATGTTGGGACACCTGAGTGGATTCGTGTATAGGGCGCTCTGGATTGTGGGGCGCAGAGTAGTTTTTTGATGGGGTTGGAGCGCGCCCTATAGCCCGGAAAATACGGTAATCATGATAATCGCCAACAATGTCCCAAAAACGACTATTGTCTACCCTTTTTAATCACAATAAATGGCATTATTTAAAACACAACGGACTCTACGCACTCCAAAGAAGTAAAAATCACACGAGGAATGTTGCCCTGATGAAAACCAGATTGGTCGAAACACGTTGGCTTTGGCCATTTAAATAAAGGCCTTTTAACTATATTTTTCCTTGTGCGATTTTTACTTCTTTGGAGTGCCTGGAGTCTGTTGTGTTTTAAGTTTTGATCCTGTTTCCAAGAGCGTCCTCTACCTGCTCCCACTGACTGGAACACCTGCAGCAAACCGCCACATTTTTGTGAGTCTTTCAAAACGATATTATTTGTTGTCCCAACCTTACAATAGACCTGTTGGAGGGACTCTGGCAACACAAACCTCTCCCACATTTTTTGGATTTGTTGGACTGTTGTTAATACACTACAACATTTTTAATACAATATTCTAAAGAAATGCAGTGTACTGTACAGCAAACTTTGTAGAAAAGGTGCTGAAGGACGATCATTTTTCGGTCTAGCTCAAACTTTACCAAATCAGCAGCAACGGACATCTATCTCATGGAAACACTGAAAGTTTAAATCAGGTCAAAGATATCAGAATTTATTAAAAATCACAGACTTTGGGCTCTTTAAGTCCAGGCTCAAAACGTATCTATTCAGACTGACTTTTAAAACTTAGTAATGCAGTGACACTATGTACAGTTTCTTTTATTTCATTGTTTAATGTTTTTTATATTGTGTTGGTTTTATTAGAATGCACTTTGGTCACCTTGAGTTGTAAAGTTGTAAAAAGCTCTCTAAATAAAGTTTGACTGATTGAAAAACTGGAGGAAATGAAGTCAAACTGAATCAATAGTCTTATAGCATTTAATTAAAGGTTCAACCAAGATGTATCATGTAACCGATTCTCAAAGTAGTACGTCTTTCTGGATCGGCGTGGATATCAGATACCAGCATTCGATATCAAAGTTCAGGTTAAGTTTCACAAACAAACTTGCCATTTATCAAACGCAGCTCAGTGATTGCTCCTGGATTTTAGCTCCCACGTATACACCCACACCAAAGCTACACCTCTGTACTCGTTACAACTTTTCCTATGCATAATCAAATAGTTGTGTGGTCTCGCCGGTATTATTTGTTTTGTAAATTGAGTTTGGCCGGACCCCGCTGTGAATAAATAACATACTTCGTCTTTGGCGGCGCAGTGCATCACCACGGGGGGCCCCACGATGCGGTTGTCCCGTTTGTAGAGGTACGTGTAGTCTGGGGAATCAAAGTGAGACAAGACGAAAACTGTCTCGAAGTCCGTGTTCTCGCCGTCCCCGAACTCCTGGACGCTGTCGGTCATTATACAGGGGGCATTGATGTCCTGCAAACAGAGAAATGAAGAGGAGTTATCCAGCAGGGCTCAGACGACTGATGTGCAAAACAAAATAGAATACAAAAACAACAACAGCAGCAGCACAGAGAGAGGAGAGCTACCAGTGTGTTTTAGGGTAGGATAAATCATTTTTAGTGGGCTTTATTATTCATGTTAGCACAGTGAGGTGAATATAAAAGTGTACTGTGTAACTTTTCTGGTGAGGGGTCCGCCACCTGCTTGTCTCCATGGAGATTAGTTAGTGGCTTTTAGTGTTTGCCAGATAGTTCAAATCTATGACACCCGTGGATCATTATCTTATAATTTGCTCGTGTACATTCTTTTTGTGCTACTGTTTATTTTTTGTACTACCATAAAATTGAAGTTTAGGGTAACTGACTATAGGGTGATAATAGGGGACCTTCTAAGATTGATTACTGTATTTTTATATAAGGCGCAATATCAATAATTATCAGTAAATAATTAGTTGAATTATCTCGCCTATTTTCATACATAAGGTGCACGGGATTATAAGGCGCATTAAGCGAAACAAAGGGACGACACTTGAGACTGATCACTTAGCCCACGTGTCCACGATCCATTGGCAGATCGTGGCGTAATTTGCTCGGCGTTGCCTCCCTGTCTTGGTGAATGTGTATCAGGAATGTGAATATGGGTGGATAATTTAAGATGGTTGTTTTTATTTTCTACAAGGAGGACTCAAATATACATTTAGTAATAATGTGTTTAATGCAGCTTTGCACATATTTGTTTACGTTTTACAGAAATGAAACTTAAAACCACATGGCTCATTTGCATAAACTATATGCGCTGAAAAAAAGTGATTTTGACAGATTTTTGAGCGTCATGTACCACATAAAATCGGTTCGAAGTCAGTACGCACAACCAGAATTAATATATAAGGCGCACTGGATTATAAGGTGCCCTGACGATTTATGTGCGCCTTATAGTCTGAAAAATACGGTACATTAAATTTTTCTTTATTGAAATTTGTGTTTTTTGATATTGTACATTTAGAATTTATTTTATTTTATTTTTTGAGATACTCTTGCTTTAAGGTTATCGTGTCAGCGGCATTTCTAAATTAATTTCAATGTTATCGTTTATCATCCCAATTTTCTTCTGCAGTCATGGCAGGCCTAGTTGTGTGGTCTTTTGTTTCTTATAATTTTTTTTTTCGTTTAAGCATTTATTGTATTTTTATTTTTTATTTTACTGGTTTATCATTTCAGCACTAGAAGGATCAGATTGACCATTTCCATCTTTTTATTGTTTTCTGTCACTGTAGCACATTTTCTAAATAGTTTTCTGGTGCTATAAAGCAGCTGTGGATTTGCCTGAAATGTTCCACAGTAGAGTTTTAAACATATTCTCTAGGTTTTAAGTTTTTGTTGCTTAAAAATACCTTGAAAATAATGTACTCTTAAGGAGCATTGCGTCAACACAGATCTGACCTGTAAACTCTGCCTAGTGGCACCTTGTCTCCATGAAGAAAAACGGTTTAATGCCGCACTGTCGCACATTCTAGGCAAAGCAATAACATCGCCATGGAGACAGGCAGATAGCGTACCCTGAACCAGAAAAGTTACATAATGCACCTTTAACCATTTTCTTCAAATCTTAAGTAAATTCAAACAGCTCTGGCCTTAGAATTTTTAAGTGAATCTCAGATCATATTGGCAACGAGAACAGATTTCATTTTTAATTTTTGGTGCAAATAATTATTTTTCAGGTTAGAACAGTGAGGTGTTTGTTGCAGTAACACAATGTCTGAATATTAACTTTTTTCAAACAACAGCAAAGGCAGAGGAAATTAGAATATATATATAAAAATACTTATTAGCGTTGAAGTTTTTCAGTTAGGACCAGAGAGCACATTAGCTGGGTGAATAGTTCAATTTCATTTTTGTTATTCATATTAGGACAATGTCTGCATTTCAATTTATTTCTAAGCCAATGTAATAAAAATTTCATAAATTTCATTCTGGCCTTGGTTCACTAGCCTGAAGTTGCATTTTTTGAGGTGTATCCAGTTCATGAAAATGCAAGTTTTGAATTTTAAAAAGCGCGAACTATAACTGTAGTACAGAGGTGTGAATAGCCACTTCCTGTTGCCTTTATACAAATTTCTGCCTTGTACAAAATTGAATAAACTACCACAAGATTTCATGAGACGAAATTGCCACAAGATGAGAAAAATGATCTTGTGAGATTTTTGTAAGTTTTTACAGGGTTCCCACTCTTTTTCACAAAATTTCCATGACTATTTCATTACCTAAAGTGAATTTTCCATGACTTTACGGCACCCTACACGTGTAAAATTTAACATATTTTAGGGCTAAATTTAAGTTTTTTAGGGCTTACTTTATGGTCTGGTATTACAGTTTAACATTCAAAATACTGTCAGTGCATTTATTGTCGTCTCTTTTAAACAAAAGGCACATATGTTTTGAAATAATCATAATAGCCTAATAATGACTTAACAGAACGCTGTAGTTGCGTGAAAGAGATAATAAAATTCCATGTCTTTTCCAGGCCTGGAAAATTAGATTTTCATTTCCAATTTCCATGACTTTCCAAGGATTTCCATTACCGTGGGAACCCAGTGTTCACATTTAGATTGGACAAAAAAGGGTTAAGTATTAGTGACTTACATCTCTTAAACAAAAATCTGAAATCAACTAAATATAAAATTGTGAGGCCAAAACTGGAAACTGAATCATGAAATATAAATATTTATAAATATAATTATATATTAGGAACTGAGGAAATTGATTCTTGAGGAAATTGTGTCTCGTCCCGTTCCTAGAATGGGCTACAAGCTTGTTGCAACCATTTTGATAATGCACTAGAAGAGACTCTTAAAAGGGTACTTGGCTGCATTTTGTTGCTCATCCAAGTAAAAAATAAATAAAATAAAAATATTGAACTGAAAAAAAAAGCAGTTAGTGTGTCATTACATTTTAGCATCACATTAGTTACAAAAACACACATATTTAGTTCTACATTTTGGAAACAGGTATTGTCGTGTTTTTAGTGTTTGAACACTGTCTCTTATGATTCATGTCTCTTCAGTACTTTTATCGACTTTTTCCCAATTTGAGAAGTAAAGCCACCCTCCCATTTCCTGTGCGATAAGTGTCTGATATTACCCATAAACCACTTTTCATAGTCCCAGGTAAGAGTACTTGTTTCCAAAATGTTTTAAAGGGCCTGAAACTGATTTTTGCCCCATATATTTGAGAGAAATTTGTCTTGGTCCAGTACAGATATATTTTGACCATAAGAGCACAAAACAATACGACACCAGTGTACTAGAGGTATGCAAACATATCGAAATATTGTGATAAAATTCAGTGATTCAATATCATTATCATGGGTTGCTTTGTCGATATTCCGCCAAGAGTTGTTTTGGGATCTTTTCACTATTTTTCTGTCATCGCACTACAGTTTTGTTGCTTATTTAGTGGAACGAAATTTGTAAATGCAGTACACTTGACATATTCACTGTTCTGATGATTAAAACAGATGTACTTTATATAAGCTTTGCAGAAGTAGTGGTTTAAGCAAATAAATATCATTGCTAACATGCATTTGTTTCTTAAAAAAAACAATTCCGAGTATCATGCAGAAAAATATCAATTATCACATATCGCCATATCGAGATAATGTCGTATTGAGCGCCTTGTATCAAGTATTATATCAAATTGTGAGGGACCCTGTGAATCCCTAGCCAGGCTGGCGCCACCTAGTGCCTCCGCTCGGTTTCATTTCTCTCCAGTGACTAGATCAGGAATCAAAATACAATAGACGGGTCGCAAAAACCCCAGAAGTGCGAGTCCGGACACCAGCCAATCAGCGAAGAGCCATACATTCTGTGTTGGCAACGATTCCCCAGATCGAGGATTTAAAGCCAGAATAAAGAGAAAGTTTGGTGAATTTTATCAAGGGGAAAGACGTTATTGCCCTTCTTCCTACAGGATTTGGGAAATGCTTAATATACCAGTTAGCCCCGTTTGCGGCGCATCACATACGTCACGACCAAATAGCAGCGATTGGTTAAATAGTAAAAAAGTACCCGCCTACCATCGAGCGAACGAAATCTAACAGCGAGGTCAGACGGTTTCTATGAAGCGAAACCGGCTGATGAATCGAGCTTGTGATTCCCAGCCCTCCTGCGTACTCTTTACATCTAATAAGAAAGCATTTTATTGTTCATTATTGCCAATCAGGAAGTGCACGTTAACATGCTAGATGGAATGCATAAGGTAAGAGAGGAATAACTCTGGACTACAGTACTGCAAACTGTTTAAAAAGAACTAGCTGTGTTTTCCACGTTTTTTAAAGACAGTAAAACTCAGGTAGCGCGCCTTTAACACTGGATCAGTAAAAGGACTCAATTAACTTTACATTGATTAAACATTATTACTGCACAAGCGAATATGCATTAATCAATTATATTATTTCAAGGCAACAGTAATTCACTTGCATTAGGTCTGCGATCCCATTAAGGGCCATAAGCGTTTCATCAGATCTATAATCCTAACATAATGTCCCATAATGTAGCTTTCAAATCGCAGAATCCTCTTATAATTCAGAGCCTTTTCATTCCGTTGCCAAGAAGATGAACTCTGCTGTGTTTAACTGGCACTTACATCCGCCAAGCATTTTAAAAGGACCAGAAAAACGTATAGAAAATCTGTCCCGCACACAGTGACATTTGCAGGCGAGTCTGTTAGTGTGGACCGGGGCTGAACGAAAATCGAAATTTTAATCAATTGTTTGTAATTAGCGAATCCCAAAAGCAGCAATTATTTACGTAGGCAATACATTGTTCCCAAATGTCAAGGATCTATTAGTGTCAAGTATTGATACTGGAAAAAGACATAAGAGGAAAAATCTGGAAATGTCTTGAATAGTTTTAGAATTATCTTGATTTATATTAGAATTATTATAAGACCACATGTAAGTTTATCAGACAAGCATGTTTAAATTAACATCTTACTGTCAAAAAAATTGCAATTTGTATTTGTATTGTAGAAACTGGTATCGAGGAACTAGTGTTGTCATGAAACACTGTGATTTTCAACATTAAATAATAATATTGTTATTTTCGGACTAGAAGCCGCTACTTTTTTCTCACACTTTGAACCCTGTGGCTAATAAAATGATGCGACTAATATATGGACGGATCATTTGTTTGGCACATTGTCCATTCATATATACGGTCTGTGGTTTGGCAACACAGCGGATGCGCGCGGAGCCTGAGTGCAGAAAGCGCTGCTGTCTGTGCAGGTAACACATGGATCTAGGGTTAACATGAAGTTTCAACACGAGCGATTTTGTCAGAGCACTCCAACAGTTGATCGCCGTGTGATAAAATAAGTTATGATGCCAAATTAACATTAGTGAGGGGGATACGTCTTACCCGTATGCGTTAAATGCAGGTGAGTGCGTAAATGACGAGAAGAAACATCTCAGACTTCAGTAGCCAGATATCCACTCATACCTGATCGATAAAACTAACCTCGGGAGAGCCTGAAAATCTGCTGAAATTCTGTAAGATATGCGCGTGACACCATACAGGACAGCAGCTCTTTCTGCAGGAGACATGCAAAGTAGAGCGCAAAGAGAGATGGGGGGGTGATGCGGCAAGGAAGATGCTCGTTTTGATTGTGTTTTGAACAGTTACTTTCCGCTTCGTACACACACCCTCCTTATGGAAAACACGCGAAGAAATGCAGATGACGCAGCTTTTAAATTAAAGGCGATTGATCTGGCTGTGGAAGAAGGAAATAAACCTGCAGCAGGTAAGCTTTGCTACAATGAGTCGATGGTGAGATTTTGGCGACGGCAGCGGGACGAACTGACAATGCAAAAAGATGACAAAAGCTTTTAGAGGCAAGAAAAGCAGATGGCCCGAACTTGAAAACGTTCTTGAAGATGTGGACACCTGCGGCTTATATTCAGGTGCGGCCTACATATGTACAATTTGAAAGTTTAGTTAAAATTTAGTTGTTACGGCTTATATTCAAGGGCGCTCAATAGTCCGGAAATTGTGGTACTTTTTTTTTTATATCTGTGTAACCCCTCAGTGGTCCAGGTAGGTTTCACAGTGGTCCATGGGCGTATACTAGTCTATGTGCTCTTATACTTGGTCTGATACAACTCAAGATCTTTCTAAAGCTATTCAGGAAACGTCCATTTCTGTCCCATTGATGAAACGTTGTTAGTATTGATACTTGATTAAATGAGTCTCTAGTTTTGATACTAGTTTAAGTATACTATAGATTATTATGTGATTTTCTATACCTTTGACAACTCTGGTAACAATCCCTTTCATTTATTTAATGATTTTTGCATTTGTCTAGGAAGTACTTACGCTCCCAGTTCTACAATCTTAACTGAGAACTGCATCTCAATCACAAATCAAAAATGTATCACTAAATTTGCCCGACAATTTATACTCTTCCATATTTCAGAGAATCGTTCAGCCCTGGAGTGCGCTCCCATATTAGCGGTTTGATTAATTACACTGAAATCGCCACACAAATCACCACAGATTGGCCATGCAGTGCTCGAGAGGACAGGACAAGTGAAGCAAATCCCCAGACACATAGAAGCACACGATCTACTGTACCATATTGACAATAGATTTTATCATCGTTTTCTCCTCGGCCCCCGTGTCCGCGTCTCTTATCTTTACCACGGGTACTTCCATAACTCGGATGTCCTGGGAAAAGGCAACCAGCAACAAGTCAATGTCACACAGTGTAATCAGAGAATGGCATCAGGATCCGGGCTGTAGATGGCAGATACACTGTAAAGTCAAGTTTAGAAAGACCTGCAAAAGAAAAGTGGATTATTTTAAGGGTTAGGTCAGTGTTGAAAAGTTTGTATCATCTTGGGGGTTTCTCTTGGCGTGTTGTTTCCTCATTAAAAACATACTGGATTTGTGATGGGTTCCATTCACTTTTTTGAGCGATATACATTTTGTCTTTCTCTCTTCAAAAGCTTAAAACTCCACATTTTAAAAGCACCTTTGATTTAATAATATAATACATCAGCGCTTTTTCGCAGTAACACAAAGACGCTTCACAATAAAGTAACACTAAAACAAGGACAGGACAGTAAAGCGGAGCAGTCATGTGTGAGGGTTGTAGGCTATGAGGAAAAGGTGTGTTTTGAGCAATTTTTTAAGGTGTTCAGAGAGTATGAGTTTGATATGAAAGGAGAGAGTTCCAAAGGGTTATGGCAAAGGCTCGGGCCCCCAAGGTCTGATGCTTTGATTTGACTTTGGGAGTGAGATTGCGATATTTTGGAGAGGCTGATTGATATAATTGTAGATAGGACGCTTTTTTTGCTTTTAAACTACCTTGACAAGATTTTGGTGTGAGTCATTACTGTCATAATCTCAAGAATTCAAGTAAAAAACATATTTCTTTATGTTGTCTGCACTGAAATGAATCATGGGATATGTAGGTCCCGATGTTTATTAGCTAATGCTACTATAAAAAAAAATGCATTTAAGCAAAGGAACTTGTAATTTGATATATCTTGTGACAGCCTACAGTGTTATTGTGAGATTTTTGACAATATGATATCACGATATCTCGGTTATTGTTACATCCCTACATCCCTATTCATTTACACTGCTACTTCTCTCTGTACATACAAAAGTACATGGCAGCTGTACTCAAATATCTGGGTTGAATATGGTTTACTTGTTTTGTGAATTAAGCACAAGAATTAAATCAAACATGAGACGAGACATGTTTTAATAATTTAAACAATGTCACAAATTCTCAAGATTATATTCTTTAGAATTTGTGACAATGTTCCAATCGTGTGAAACTAAAAAAAAGCAGGCAAAAAGACAAAATTCAATCAATTCAAACAGCTTGATGGTAATGATAAAAAACACATCTGAACATTCCTTAAAAAAAAAAAAAAAAAGCCAAATTAAGACTTAAAAAAGATTCCAGGGCTGAGTGTACGGAGGTCGAAAAAGAAGAGTAAAGTTAACAGTGTCAGTGCCCCCATGGAGTTTAAAAACAGTGAGTTCAAACAAATATCAGACCAAGGGGGGGTGGCGCCTCGAGGGACATTTTGGCACAAAATGAATCAAGATCAAAGTAAATAAAAAGCAGAAGAAAGAAAGAGCGGTGGTGGCAGGGGGCAGTCGAGAAGTTAAATCGATAATCAGCATTATTTGGAAACAAAGTTAGCCATTTCAAAGCAAAGCAATCTATACTCGCATTTACAGTAAGTGATCACTGCTGTAAATGAATACACTGGCTTGTTGCCTCTCCACAGATCTGACCTGTAATGTAGCACAGTTGTCTCCCTTGAGATAAATAATTTAGTTTCCACTGTGGAACATTCTAGACAAAGCGATAACATAAATAAATAAATAAAGCAGGTGACGGACTCTAAACCAGAAAGGTTGCACCCAAAACGTTAACCCAATTTTTAATCATGACATCCTTATTTTTTCAGTATAAACCTTTTTCCTCAAGTGAGAGTAAACAGAGAGAGATAATAATTTTGGCGGTTCCAAGAAATTGAGGAGGAGTTAAATGGGATGGGACAAGATCTTGTACCACAAGATCTCACGAGACCAATTTGTTACACATGAGGAAAATGATCTCGGGAGATATTTTTCTCATGTGTTTAAATTTGGATTGGACAAAAAAAGGCTGAACGCTAGTGAGTTATCATTTTGAGAAGCTGTAGTTTCCAAAAGCAGTGCAAAAATGGCCACTAAAGTACTCAATAAGAGATATAAACTGAACTGAATGCCACAACTGATTTACTGTAATATGTAAGGGTGTACAAAAATATCAATATTTATATATAATAGGGATGTAACAATAACCAAAATATTGTGATATCGTAACAATATCGATATAGTGGACCATCACAATATATCGAATTACAAGTCTCTTTGTTTAAATGAAGAGTTCTGGTGCAGTAATAGACAAAAAGACAAAGGGAACTACATAGACCATGATCCTTTGCTCCAATTCAGTGCAGATGACAAGAAATAACAGCTCTTTTAAGTCTTAGTTCTTTGGATTAAGTCTTGTCAAGGTATTGTAAGAGAAAAAGTAGGATATTAACAGTTTTGTTAACCTCCACAAAATATCGCAATAAATATCGTACCGTGAGATGTGTATCATGAAAATATCATACAGAGAGATTTGGATATTGTTACGTCCCTAATCGTGAGCCTCCCCACCATATCGTGAGCTTTCCCAAGATATCGTAATAAGTATTGTACCGTGAGGTTCATACCATGACAATATTGTATCGTGAGACTTCGATATCGTTACACCCCTAATATATAGTATAGTTTAATCATGTGATTATGCAGTATCGATATTGTGGCATGTTGGATCCATATATATTGCTAAGAGTTTTTTTGGTATATTTTACTAAATTATTTTGTTACAGTGCTACAGTTTTGGTGCTTGTTTAGTAGAATGAAACTTGTTCTAATAAAGTGGTTTAACAAACACATTTTTTTATTGAACTGTATTGAATCAATTTGAAATATATCAAATAAAAAATGCCCTGTAATTGAGACATGTATCGTATTGTGGCCTATGTATCGAGGTATGTATCGTATCGGCAACTTTTTAATGATACCCAACCCTAATAATTTATATCAAAATCTTGCCTTGTCTCGATCTCGTGGACCTTACCTCATGTCTAGTCTCGCCTTGTGAGTATTCTGTCTCGTCCCACCCCTATGAGGCCTATAAAATAAGAACCACTATCCATTTATCCGTGCACAAAACTGGGCATCAAAATGGCGCATGCACAATGGAAATACTGATTTAATTCATCAAATTTTAAGTTATTCAGCAAAATATGTACGATTCAGAAATCTCTCGGCGAGCTACTTGAAGACTTTTAGTATTTCATTTGTGTATTTTGTTTAGAGAAAGGAAACTGGCTGATGCAATTCAATCACGTATTAAAACTTAAAACAAAAGAAGCGGTTTTGTTACAGACTGTGGTAAAATAGTTGTTATTCATATATGGGATTCTCCATTTTACACCAGGCCTAAAGATTGACATGCACAAACAGATATTTTCGCAGGACGCCGTCAGAGTGACAGGGCCCGTGGGAGACACAGGGGGGAGGGAGAGTAACTGCACTTAGGCAGACGAGAGCCACGCCCCCAAATCACCTTCACAGGGCCCCCTCCACACCTCCAGACACTCGGAGATGTACAGAGCGCAGAGACAGATCACGCTGAGAGGTGCATAAATATACAAAACAAATATACGCGCTCCAAGAAACTGTCGACACCTATATGTGAAATCAGACATCTCATTTGTTTAAGGCCTTTATATAGCTCGCCTTACAGCTTCTCAGTGTCTGTAGTTTTAACGGGACTGTATAAGCAAGCACTTCCCGTTTATAATTGATACTTTGCAACTCTCTGTACCAAAGTATGTAAAAAATATCATTGCATTTGTTACTCTTATTGTCCATGCCTGGATTAGACACATTCTATATTTTGTCAACATGTAAAAAGAAAGATGTACCGTATGTTTCGGATTATAAGTAGCATTTTTTTTCATGTTTTGGGTGTTTCCTGCGACTTACTCCGGTGCAACTTCTATATTAAAACTTTCACACTGACAGCCACAAGAGGGCGCTCTAGGCTTGCGTGTCAGTATCTTCTATTATTATTCTTGTACCACTGTTACTTGGCTCTACTGCTCATGTCTCCTGCAGAAAGAGCCACTGTCCAGTCTCTATCATGTCAGTCGATCGCACCATTACTTCTGTACCACTGAAAATTTTAAATTTAAGTGACTTAAGTGACAACCGAAACCATCCTGTCGGGATTCAGAAAGGCCGGAATAATTCTGACTAGAACTGATGCTGAGTCTGGTGACAGCTACACAAAAGAGGAAGCGGCGCACCATTTACCTCCGGAGGTCGGAGAGTTGCTCAGAAGTGACACCAAGGATGAAGAATTTGGGATGAGATCAAGAAATTGGTAAACTTGTTAGGTAACTATAGCATGAACAATATAACATGAGCACATTAACAGCCTGTTGTTCTCTATTCTATTATTAATATAACTTGCCTTTCAAAATGAAATGTCAGTTCCTGTTCTCTGATTTTATAAAATAAATTCACCCCAAAAACTGTGAAGAAACTTATACATATATTTTTTCTTCATTACGCATTTTTTGGCTGGTGCGGCATATACTCTGGAGCAACTTATAGTCCAAAAATTACGGTACTCAAAAAAATCTGAAGTCCGGGTCATGGAAGTCAAAGCCATTTCAGGTTAAATTTTTCAGGTTACAATGAACACATTTTAAATAATTATCCATGCATGGTCATAAACGCTGAAAAAGCCTGCCTTCTTTAAGCAAGTCAAATTCTCAGCCTGTAAGTGCACATTATAGGAAAGCCAAACAGACTCGTTTAAAACCAAAAGGATTCAAATGATATTCAGTAAGTCTCGGCTAAGAATGTACCTGATTAAAAATGTATGAGCCAATTAAAGCAAAAATGCTGTGTAATGAAATGGAGATCGCCCGTGCTCATTTTGCTATGCTTGTACTAATTCGCAGAATCAAAACAAGGAACTCAAATTAAAATATTTCTGGACGCCGTACAAAAAGTGTGATTTCCGTAGGATTCGCCATGTTAGAGGCACAGGCAGTATTTTTTTCTCAGATCAATGAAAACACGACACA